GAACACTGTCCCAAGTCTAGAGGAACACCAACTTCAGCACAGCGACTGGAAGAATGCTCCGTGTACCCCAAATGGTCTCGAGATGAGAGCTGATTCCCTGGCTTAGGCTCAAGACGTATGCTAACTTTCCAGAAGCACCTCAAGAGGAGGATTCTCTCAGCAATAAGTATGTGGGAGGGACACCGAGTTTGCTGCCTCAAGGGGAATATACCGCGAGAAGCCCTAAATTGAAAGCAGGCTGGGTTTCCTTGCAGTGGCTTGAATACAGGCTCGTCTTTCATCTAACAACATGAAGGGATGTCTGAATCCCCTGTGGAGACCTTAGAGAAAGCCCTAGGTCCCTGCCTCATTTTGACGGAGTGCCTCACATCCCGTTGACACCTCGAGAGGCACGCGGAGCTCACTGCTTCAAAAGGTGACGATGCCTGACTCCTCTTGAATACTGAGAGGGCTCCCAAAATCCCTGTGGCTACTGGAAAGGGTCCTTGGGTGCCCTGCTTCACCTAGAGAAGCGTCCCTTTTGCCTTGCAAAGCCTCGAAGAGATTCCTGAGGTGTCCCTCGTTACTAGACAGGAGTCCTGACGTCACTGAAGAAACTCGTGTTTTGAAGAGCCATCCCCGCGGTAAGTCGAGAACATACCCCAGGTCCCCGCCAAAGCTCGAGGAAAACCATGAGATTTCCCCCTAGAGGCGAGATGAGGCCCCATTCCCCTGCAGTGCATGCAGAGCTATTCCGTGATCCCATTCAAACAAGTCAGGAGCTTCGACATGCTTAATGGATCTCAAGACAGTCCGCAAGGTCACCAGTCTAGACGGACCCTGAGGTCACCCCGCAACGCAAAGCAGCTCCATGTGCCCCACACCAACTCGAGATGAGGCCCCATTCCCCTGCATTGACTCCAGAGCCATTCCCCGTTCCCCATTCATCAAGACCGGTGGCTCGACTTCCTTCAGGCAACTCCAGATATGCCCCGAGAACACTGTCCCAAGTCTAGAGGAACACCAACTTCAGCACAGCAACCAGAGGAATGCTGCGTGTACCCCATATCGTCTCGAGATGAGAGCTGATTCCCTGCCTTAGGCTCAAGACCTATGCCAATTTCCAGAAGCACCTCAACAGGAGGCTTCTCTCAGCAATAGGTATGTGGGAGGGACCCCGAGTTTGCTGCCTCAAGGGGAATATAGAGCGAGAAGCCCTAACTTGAAAGGAGGCCGGATTTCCTTGCAGTGGCTTGAATACAGGCTCGTCTTTCATCTCACAACATGAAGGGATGTCTGAATCCCCTGTGGAGACCTTAGAGAAAGCCCTAGGTCCCTGCTTCATTATGACGGAATGCCTCACATCCCGTTGACACCTGGACAGGCACGCAGAGTTCATTGCTTCAAAAGGTGACGATGAATGAATCCTCTTGAAAACTGATAGGAATCCCAAAATCCCTGTGGCTACTGGAAAGGGTCCTTGGGTGCCCTGCCTCACCTCGAGAAGCGTCCCTTTTGCCCTGCCAAGGCTGGAAGAGATTCCTGAGGTTTCCCTCGTTACTAGACAGGAGTCCTGACGTCACTGAAGAAACTCGTGTTTTGAAGGGCCATCCCCGCCGTAAGTCGAGAACATAAACCAGGTCCCCGCCGCAACTCGAGAAAAACCGTGAGACTTCCCCCTAGAGGCGAGATGAGGCCCCATTCCCCATCAGTGCATGCAGAGCTATTCCGTGATCCCATTCAAACAAATCAGGAGCTTCGACTTGCTTAATGGTTCTCGAGACAGTCCCCTAGAACACTGTCACAAGTCTAGACGGACCCTGAGGTCACTCCAGCAACGCAAAGCAGCTCCATGTGCCCCAAATCAACTCGAGATGAGGCCCGATTCGCCTGAATTGACTCCAGAGCCATTCCCCGTTCCCCATTCAACATGACCGGTGGCTCGACTTCCTTCAGGCCACTCCAGAGATGCCCCGAGAACACTGTCCCAAGTCTAGAGGAACACCAACTTCAGCACAGCACCTTGAGGAATGCTCCGTGTATCCCAAAACGTCTCGAGATGAGAGCTGATTCCCTGGCTTAGGCTCAATACTTATGCCAACTTTCCAGAAGCACCTCAAGAGGTGGCTTCTCTCAGCAAAAGGTATGTGGGAGGGACCCCGAGTTTACTGCCGCAAGGGGAATATACAGCGAGAAGCCCTAAATTGAAAGGAGGCCGGATTTCTTTGCAGTGTCTTGAATACAGGCTCGTCTTTCATCTCACAACATGAAGGGATGTCTGAGTCCCCTGTGGAGACCTTAGAGAAAGCCCTAGGTCCCTGCATCATTTTGACGGAATGCCTCACATCCCACTGACACCACGAGAGGCACGCGGAGTTCATTGCTTCAAAAGGTGACGGTGCCTGACTCTTCTTGAATACTGATAGGAATCCCAAAATCCCTGTGGCTACAGGAAAGGGCCCTTGGGTGCCCTGCCTCACCTCGAGAAGCGTCCCTTTTGCCCTGCCAAGCCTCGAAGAGATTCCTGAGGTGTCCCTCGTTACTAGACAGGAGTCCTGACGTCACTGAAGAAACTCGTGTTTTGAAGGGCCATCCCCGCTGTAAGTCGAGAACATACCCCAGGTCCCCGCCGCAACTCGAAAAAAACCATGAGACTTCCCCCTAGAGGCGAGATGAGGCCCCATTCCCCTGCAGTGCATGCAGAGCTATTCCGTGATCCCATTCCAACAAGTCAGGAGCTTCGACTTGCTTAATGGATCTCGAGACAGTCCCCAAGAACACTGTCACCAGTCTAGACGGACCCTGAGGTCACCCCAGCAACGCAAAGCAGCTCCATGTGCCCCAAATCAACTCGAGATGAGGCCCCATTCCCCTGCATTGACTCCAGAGCCATGCCCCGTTCCCCATTCAACAAGACCGGTGGCTCGACTTCCTTCAGGCAACTCCAGAGATGCCCCGAGAACACTGTCCCAAGTCTAGAGGAACACCAACTTCAGCACAGCGACTCGAGGAATGCTCCGTGTACCCCAAATCGTCTCGAGATGAGAGCTGATTCCCTGGCTTAGGCTCAAGACGTATGCCAACTTTCCAGAAGCACCTCAGGAGGAGGCTTCTCTCAGCAATAGGTGTGTGGGAGGGACCCCGAGTTTGCTGCCTCAAGGGGAATATACCGCGAGAAGCCCTAAATTGAAAGCAGGCCGGGTTTCCTTGCAGTGGCTTGAATTCAGGCTCGTCTTTCATCTAACAACATGAAGGGATGTCTGAATCCCCTGTGGAGACCTTAGAGAAAGCCCTAGGTACCTGCCTCATTTTGACGGAGTGCCTCACATCCCGTTGACACCTCGAGAGGCACGCGGAGCTCACTGCTTCAAAAGGTGACGATGCCTGACTCCTCTTGAACACTGATAGGAATCCCAAAATCCCTGTGGCTACTGGAAAGGGTCCTTGGGTGCCTTGCTTCACCTCGAGAAGCGTCCCTTTTGCCTTGCAAAGCCTCGAAGAGATTCCTGAGGTGTCCCTCGTTACTAGACAGGAGTCCTGACGTCACTGAAGAAACTCGTGTTTTGAAGGCCCATCCCCGCGGTAAGTCGAGAACATACCCCAGGTCCCCGCCAAAACTCGAGAAAAACCATGAGACTTCCCCCTAGAGGCGAGATGAGGCCCCATTCCCCTGCAGTGCATGCAGAGCTATTCCGTGATCCCATTCAAACAAGTCAGGAGCTTCGACATGCTTAATGGATCTCGAGACAGTCCGCAAGGTCACCAGTCTAGACGGACCCTGAGGTCACCCCGCAAAACAAAGCTGCTCCATGTGCCCCAAACCAACTCGAGATGAGGCCCGATTCCTCTGCATTGACTCCAGAGCCATTCCCCGTTCCCCATTCAACATGACCGGTGGCTCGACTTCCTTCAGGCAACTCCAGAGATGCCCCGAGAACACTGTCCCAAGTCTAGAGGAACACCAACTTCAGCACAGCAACCAGAGGAATGCTGCGTGTACCCCATATCGTCTCGAGATGAGAGCTGATTCCCTGCCTTAGGCTCAAGACCTATGCCAATTTCCAGAAGCACCTCAACAGGAGGCTTCTCTCAGCAATAGGTATGTGGGAGGGACCCCGAGTTTGCTGCCTCAAGGGGAATATAGAGCGAGAAGCCCTAACTTGAAAGGAGGCCGGATTTCCTTGCAGTGGCTTGAATACAGGCTCGTCTTTCATCTCACAACATGAAGGGATGTCTGAATCCCCTGTGGAGACCTTAGAGAAAGCCCTAGGTCCCTGCTTCATTATGACGGAATGCCTCACATCCCGTTGACACCTGGACAGGCACGCAGAGTTCATTGCTTCAAAAGGTGACGATGAATGAATCCTCTTGAAAACTGATAGGAATCCCAAAATCCCTGTGGCTACTGGAAAGGGTCCTTGGGTGCCCTGCCTCACCTCGAGAAGCGTCCCTTTTGCCCTGCCAAGGCTGGAAGAGATTCCTGGGGTGTCCCTCTTTACTAGACAGGTGTCCTGACGTCACTGAAGAAATTCGTGTTTTGAAGGGCCATCCCCGCCGTAAGTCGAGAACATACCCCAGGTCCCCGCCGCAACTCAAGAAAAACCATGAGACTTCCCCCTAGAGGCAAGATGAGGCCCCATTCCCCTGCAGTGCATGCAGAGCTATTCCGTGATCCCATTCAAACAAGTCAGGAGCTTCGACTTGCTAAATGGTTCTCGAGAGAGTCCCCTAGAACACTGTCACAAGTCTAGACGGACCCTGAGGTCACTCCAGCAACGCAAAGCAGCTCCATGTGCCCCAAATCAACTCGAGATGAGGCCCGATTCGCCTGAATTGACTCCAGAGCCATTCCCCGTTCCCCATTCAACATGACCGGTGGCTCGACTTCCTGCAGGCAACTCCAGAGATGCCCCGAGAACACTCTCCCAAGTCTAGAGGAACACCAACTTCAGCACAGCAACTCGAAGAATGCTCCGTGTACCCCAAATCGTCTCGAGATGAGAGCTGATTCCCTGGCTTAGGGTCAAGACGTATGCCAACTTTCCAGAAGCGCCTCAAGAGGTGGCTTCTCTCAGCAATAGGTATGTGGGAAGGACCCCGAGTTTGCTGCCTCAAGGGGAATATACAGCGAGAAGCCCTAACTTGAAAGGAGGCCGGATTTCCTTGCAGTGGCTTGAATACAGGCTCGTCTTTCATCTCACAACATGAAGGGATGTCTGAATCCCCTGTGGAGACCATAGAGAAAGCCCTAGGTCCCTGCCTCATTTTGACGGAATGCCTCACATCTCGCTGACACCTCGAGAGGCACGCGGAGTTCATTGCTTCAAAAGGTGACGGTGCCTGACTCTTCTTGAATACTGATAGGAATCCCAAAATCCCTGTGGCTACTGGAAAGGGTCCTTGAGTGCCCTGCCTCACCTCGAGAAGCGTCCCTTTTGCCCTGCCAAGCCTCGAAGAGATTCCTGAGGTGTCCCTCGTTACTAGACAGGAGTCCTGACGTCACTGAATAAACACGAGTTTTGAAGGGCCATCCCTGCCGTAAGTCGAGAACATACCCCAGGTCCCATCCGCAACTCGAGAAAAACCATGAGACTTCCCCCTAGAGGCGAGGTGAGGCCCCATTCCCATGCAGTGCATGCAGAGCTATTCCGTGATCCCATTCAAACAAGTCAGGAGCTTCGACATGCTTAATGGATCTCGAGACAGTCCGCAAGGTCACCAGTCTAGACGGACCCTGAGGTCACCCCGCAACGCAAAGCAGCTCCATGTGCCCCAAACCAACTCGAGATGAGGCCCCATTCCCCTGCATTGACTCCAGAGACATTCCCCGTTCCCCATTCAACACGACCGGTGGCTCGACTCCTTCAGGCCACTCCAGAGATGCCCCGAGAACACTGTCCCAAGTCTAGAGGAACACCAACTTCAGCACAGCGACTCGAGGAATGCTCCGTGTACCTCAAATCGTCTCGAGATGAGAGCTGATTCCCTGGCTTAGGCTCAAGACGTATGCCAACTTTCCAGAAGCACCTCAGGAGGAGGCTTCTCTCAGCAATAGGTATGTGGGAGGGACCCCGAATTTGCTGCCTCAAGGGGAATATACCGCGAGAAGCCCTAAATTGAAAGCAGGCCGGGTTTCCTTCCAGTGGCTTGAATACAGGCTCGTCTTTCATCTAACAACATGAAGGGATGTCTGAATCCCCTGTGGAGACCTTAGAGAAAGCCCTAGGTCCCTGCCTCATTTTGACGGAGTGCCTCACATCCCGTTGACACCTCGAGAGGCACGCGGAGTTCACTGCTTCAAAAGGTGACGATGAATGAATCCTCTTGAATACTGATAGGAATCCCAAAATCCCTGTGGCTACTGGAAAGGGTCCTTGGGTGCCCTGCTTCACCTCGAGAAGCGTCCCTTTTGCCCTGCAAAGCCTCGAAGAGATTCCTGAGGTGTCCCTCGTTACTAGACAGTAGTCCTGACGTCACTGAAGAAACTCGTGTTTTGAAGGGCCATCCCCGCGGTAAGTCGAGAACATACTCCAGGTCCCTGCCAAAACTCGAGAAAAACCATGAGACTTCCCCCTAGAGGCGAGATGAGGCCCCATTCCCCTGCAGTGCATGCAGAGCTATTCCGTGATCCCATTCAAACAAGTCAGGAGATTCGACTTGCTTAATGGATCTCGAGACAGTCCGCAAGGTCACCAGTCTAGACGGACCCTGAGGTCACTCCACCAACGAAAAGCAGCTCCATGTGCCCCAAATCAATTCGAGATGAGGCCCCATTCCCCTGCCTTGACTCCAGAGCCATTCCCCCTTCCACATTCAACACGACCGGTGGCTCGACTTCCTTCAGGCAACTCCAGAGGTGCCCCGAGAACACTGTCCCAAGTCTAGAGGAACACCAACTTCAGCACAGCAACCCGAGGAATGCTTCGTGTACCCCAAATCGTCTCGAGATGAGGGCTGATTCCCTGCCTTAGGCTCAAGACAAATGCCAATTTCCAGAAGCACCTCAACAGGAGGCTTCTCTCAGCAATAGGTATGTGGGAGGGACCCCGAGTTTGCTGCCTCAAGGGGAATACAGCGAGAAGCCCTAACTTGAAAGGAGGCCGGATTTCCTTGCAGTGACTTGAAAACAGGCTCGTCTTTCATCTCACAGCATGAATGGATGTCTGAATCCCCTTTGGACACCTTAGAGAAATCCCTAGGTCCCTGCATCATTTTGACGGAATGCCTCACATCCCGCTGACACCTCGAGAGGCACGCGGAGTTCATTGCTTCAAAAGGTGACGATGAATGAATCCTCTTGAATACTGATAGGAATCCCAAAATCCCTGTGGCTACTGGAAAGGGTCCTTGGGTGCCCTGCCTCACCTCGAGAAGCGTCCCTTTTGCCCTGCCAAGCCTCGAAGAGATTCCTGAGGTGTCCCTCGTTACTAGACAGGAGTCCTGACGTCACTGAATAAACACGAGTTTTGAAGGGCCATCCCCGCCGTAAGTCGAGAACATACCGCAGGTCCCCACCGCAACTCGAGGAAAACCATGAGAATTCCCCCTAGAGGTCAGATGAGGCCCCATTCCCCTGCAGTGCATGCAGAGCTATTCCGTGATCCCATTCAAACAAGTCAGGAGCTTCGACATGCTTAATGGATCTCGAGACAGTCCGCAAGGTCACCAGTCTAGACGGACCCTGAGGTCACCCCGCAACGCAAAGCAGCTCCATGTGCCACAAACCAACTCGAGATGAGGCACCATTCCCCTGCATTGACTCCAGAGCCATTCCCCGTTCCCCATTCAACACGACCGGTGGCTCGACTTCCTTCAGGCCACTCCAGAGATGCCCCGAGAACACTGTCCCAAGTCTAGATTAACACCAACTTCACCACAGCGACTCGAGGGATGCTCCGTGTACCTCAAATCGTCTCGAGATGAGAGCTTATTCCCTGGCTTAGGCTCAAGACGTATGCCAACTTTCCAGAAGCACCTCAGGAGGAGGCTTCTTTCAGCAATAGGTATGTGGGAGGGAACCCGAATTTGCTGCCTCAAGGGGAATATACCGCGAGAAGCCCTAAATTGAAAGCAGGCCGTGTTTCCTTCCAGTGGCTTGAATACAGGCTCGTCTTTCATCTAACAACATGAAGGGATGACTGAATCCCCTGTGGAGACCTTAGAGAAAGCCCTAGGTCCCTGCCTCATTTTTACGGAGTGCCTCACATCCCGTTGACACCTCGAGAGGCACGCGGAGTTCACTGCTTCAAAAGGTGACGATGCCTGACTCCTCTTGAATACTGATAGGAATCCCAAAATCCCTGTGGCTACTGGAAAGGGTCCTTGGGTGCCCTGCTTCACCTCGAGAAGCGTCCCTTTTGCCTTGCAAAGCCTCGAAGAGATTCCTGAGGTGTCCCTCGTTACTAGACAGGAGTCCTGACGTCACTGAATAAACACGAGTTTTGAAGGGCCATCCCTGCCGTAAGTCGAGAACATACCCCAGGTCCCCTCCGCAACTCGAGAAAAACCATGAGACTTCCCCCTAGAGGCGAGGTGAGGCCCCATTCCCATGCAGTGCATGCAGAGCTATTCCGTGATCCCATTCAAACAAGTCAGGAGCTTCGACTTGCTTAATGGATCTCGAGACAGTCCCCAAGAACACTGTCACAAGTCTAGACGGACCCTGAGGTCACCCAGGCAACGCAAAGCAGCTCCATGTGCCCCAAATCAACTCGAGATGAGGCCCGATTCCCCTGCATTGACTCCAGAGCCATTCCCCGTTCCCCATTCAACACGACAGGTGGCTCGACTTCCTTCAGGCAACTCCAGAGATGCCCCGAGAACACTGTCCCAAGTCTAGAGGAACACCAACTTCAGCAGAGCGACTCGAGGAATGCTCCGTGTACACCAAATCGTCTCGAGATGAGAGCTGATTCCCTGGCTTAGGCTCAAGACGTATGCCAACTTTCCAGAAGCACCTCAAGAGGAGGATTCTCTCAGCAATAGTTATGTGGGAGGGACACCGAGTTTGCTGCCTCAAGGGGAATATACAGTGAGAAGCCCTAAATTGAAAGCAGGCCGGGTTTCCTTGCAGTGGCTTGAATACAGGCTCGTCTTTCATCTAACAATATGAAGGGATGTCTGAATCCCTGTGGAGACCTTAGAGAAAGCCCTAGGTCCCTGCCTCATTTTGACGGAGTGCCTCACATCCCATTGACACCTCGAGAGGCACGCGGAGTTCACTGCTTCAAAAGGTGACGATGCCTGACTCCTCGTGAATACTGATAGGAATCCCAAAATCACTGTGGCTACTGGAAAGGGTCCTTGGGTGCCCTGCTTCACCTCGAGAAGCGTCCCTTTTGCCTTGCAAAGCCTCGAAGAGATTCCTGAGGTGTCCCTCGTTACTAGACAGGAGTCCTGACGTCACTGAAGAAACTCGTGTTTTGAAGGGCCATCCCCGCGGTAAGTCGAGAACATACCCGAGGTCGCCGCCAAAACTCGAGAAAAACCATGAGACTTCCCCCTAGAGGGGAGATGAGGCCCCATTCCCCTGCAGGGCATGCAGAGCTATTCCGTGATCCCATTCAAACAAGTCAGGAGCTTCGACATGCTTAATGGATCTCGAGACAGTCCGCAAGGTCACCAGTCTAGACGGACCCTGAGGTCACCCCGCAACGCAAAGCAGCTCCATGTGCCCCAAACCAAGTCGAGATGAGGCCCCATTCCCCTGCATTGACTCCAGAGCCATTCCCCGTTCCCCATTCAACATGACCGGTGGCTCGACTTCCTTCAGGACACTCCAGAGATGCCCCGAGAACACTGTCCCAAGTCTAGAGGAACAACAACTTCAGCACAGCGACTCGAGGAATGCTCCGTGTACCCCAAATCGTCTCGAGATGAGACCTGATTCCCTGGCTTAGGCTCAAGACGTATGCCAACTTTTAAGAAGCACCTCAGGAGGAGGCTTCTCTCAGCAATAGGTATGTGGGAGGGACCCCGAATTTGCTGCCTCAAGGGGAATATACCGCGAGAAGCCCTAAATTGAAAGCAGGCCGGGTTTCCTTCCAGTGGCTTGAATACAGGCTCGTCTTTCATCTAACAACATGAAGGGATGTCTGAATCCCCTGTGGAGACCTTAGAGAAAGCCCTAGGTCCCTGCCTCATTTTGACGGAGTGCCTCACATCCCGTTGACACCTCGAGAGGCACGCGGAGTTCACTGCTTCAAAAGGTGACGATGCCTGACTCCTCTTGAATACTGATAGGAATCCCAAAATCCCTGTGGCTACTGGAAAGGGTCCTTGGGTGCCCTGCTTCACCTCGAGAAGCATCCCTTTTGCCCTGCCAAGCCTCGAAGAGATTCCTGAGGTGTCCCTCGTTACAAGACAGGAGTCCTGACGTCACTGAAGAAACTCGTGTTTTGAAGGGCCATCCCCGCGGTAAGTCGAGAACATACCCCAGGTCCCCGCCGCAACTCGAGAAAAAACATGAGACTTCCCCCTAGAGGCGAGATGAGGCCCCATTCCCCTGCAGGGCATGCAGAGCTATTCCGTGATCCCATTCAAACAAGTCAGGAGCTTCGACATGCTTAATGGATCTCGAGACAGTCCCCAAGAACACTGTCACAAGTCTAGACGGACCCTGAGGTCACCCAGGCAACGCAAAGCAGCTCCATGTGCCCCAAATCAACTCGAGATGAGGCCCGATTCCCCTGAATTGACTCCAGAGCCATTCCCCGTTCCCCATTCAACACGACAGGTGGCTCGACTTCCTTCAGGCAACTCCAGAGATGCCCGGAGAACACTGTCCCAAGTCTAGAGGAACACCAACTTCAGCACAGCGACTCGAGGAATGTTCCGTGTACACCAAATCGTCTCGAGATGAGAGCTGATTCCCTGGCTTAGGCTCAAGACGTATGCCAACTTTCCAGAAGCACCTCAAGAGGAGGATTCTCTCAGCAATAGTTATGTGGGTGGGACACCGAGTTTGCTGCCTCATGGGGAATATACAGTGAGAAGGCCTAAATTGAAAGCAGGCTGGGTTTCCTTGCAGTGGCTTGAATACAGGCTCGTCTTTCATCTAACAACATGAAGGGATGTCTGAATCCCCTGTGGAGACCTTAGAGAAAGCCCTAGGTCCCTGCCTCATTTTGACGGAGTGCCTCACATCCCGTTGACACCTCGAGAGGCACTCGGAGTTCACTGCTTCAAAAGGTGACGATGCCTGACTCCTCTTGAATACTGATAGGAATCCCAAAATCCCTGTGGCTACTGGAAAGGGTCCTTGGGTGCCCTGCTTCACCTCGAGAAGCGTCCCTTTTTCCTTGCAAAGCCTCGAAGAGATTCCTGAGGTGTCCCTCGTTACTAGACAGGAGTCCTGACGTCACTGAAGAAACTCGTGTTTTGAAGGTCCATCCCCGCGGTAAGTCGAGAACATACCCCAGGTCCCCGCCAAAACTCGAGAAAAACCATGAGACTTCCCCCTAGAGGCGAGATGAGGCCCCATTCCCCTGCAGTACATGCAGAGCTATTCAGTGATCCCATTCAAACAAGTCAGGAGCTTCGACATGCTTAATGGATCTCGAGACAGTCCGCAAGGTCACCAGTCTAGACGGACCCTGAGGTCACCCCGCAACGCAAAGCAGCTCCATGTGCCCCAAACCAACTCGAGATGAGGCCCCATTCCCCTGCATTGACTCCAGAGCCATTCCCCGTTCCCCATTCAACACGACCGGTGGCTCGACTTCTTCAGGCCACTCCAGAGATGCCCCGAGAACACTGTCCCAAGTCTAGAGGAACACCAACTTCAGCAAAGCGACTCGAGGAATGCTCCCTGTACCTCAAATCGTCTCGAGATGAGAGCTGATTCCCTGGCTTAGGCTCAAGACGTATGCCAACTTTCCAGAAGCACCTCAGGAGGAGGCTTCTCTCAGCAATAGGTATGTGGGAGGGACCCCGAATTTGCTGCCTCAAGGGGAATATACCACGAGAAGCCCTAAATTGAAAGCAGGCCGGGTTTCCTTCCAGTGGCTTGAATACAGGCTCGTCTTTCATCTAACAACATGAAGGGATGTCTGAATCCCCTGTGGAGACCTTAGAGAAAGCCCTAGGTCCCTGCCTCATTTTGACGGAATGCCTCACATCCCGTTGACACCTCGAGAGGCATGCGGAGTTCACTGCTTCAAAAGGTGACGATGCCTGACTCCTCTTGAATACTGATAGGAATCCCAAAATCACAGTGGCTACTGGAAAGGGTCCTTGGGTGCCCTGCTTCACCAAGAGAAGCGTCCCTTTTGCCTTGCAAAGCCTCGAAGAGATTCCTGAGGTGTCCCTCGTTACTAGACAGGAGTCCTGACATCACTGAAGAAACTCGTGTTTTGAAGGGCCATCCCCGCCGTAAGTCGAGAACATAACCCAGGTCCCCGCCAAAACTCGAGAAAAACCATGAGACTTCCCCCTAGAGGCGAGATGAGGCCCCATTCCCCTGCAGAGCATGCAGAGCTATTCCGTGATCCCATTCAAACAAGTCAGGAGCTTCGACTTGCTTAATGGATCTCGAGACAGTCCGCAAGGTCACCAGTCTAGACGGACCCTGAGGTCACTCCACCAACGCAAAGCAGCTCCATGTGCCCCAAATCAATTCGAGATGAGGCCCGATTCCCATGCATTTACTCCAGAGCCATTCCCCGTTCCCCATTCAACATGACCGGTGGCTCGATTTCTTTCAGGCAACTCCAGAGATATCCCGAGAACACTGTCCCAAATCTAGAGGAACACCAACTTCAGCACAGCAACTCGAGGAATGCTCCGTGTACCCCAAATCGTCTCGAGATGAGAGCTGATTCCCTGGCATAGGCTCAAGACGTATGCCAACTTTCCAGAAGCAGCTCAAGATGTGGCTTCTCTCAGCAATAGGTATGTGGAGGGACCCCGAGTTTGCTGCCTCAAGGGGAATATACAGCGAGAAGACCTAACTTGAAATGAGGCCGGATTTCCTTGCAGTGTCTTGAATGCAGGCTCCTCTTTCATCTCACAACATGAAGGGATGTCTGAATCCCCTGTGGAGACCATAGAGAAAGCCCTAGGTCCCTGCCTCATTTTGACGGAATGCCTCACATCCCGCTGACACCTCGAGAGGCACACGGAGTTCATTGCTTCGAAAGGTGACGGTGCCTGACTATTCTTCAATACTGATAGGAATCCCAAAATCCCTGTGGCTACTGGAAAGGGTCCTTGGGTGCCCTGCCTCACCTCGAGAAGCGTCCCTTTTGCCCTGCCAAGCCTCGAAGAGATTCCTGAGGTGTCCCTCGTTACTAGACAGGAGTCCTGACGTCACTGAATAAACACGAGTTTTGAAGGGCCATCCCCGCCGTAAGTCGAGAACATACCGCAGGTCCCCACCGCAACTCGAGAAAAACCATGAGACTTCCCCCTAGAGGCGAGATGAGGCCCCATTCCCATGCAGTGCATGCAGAGCTATTCCGTGATCCCATTCAAACAAGTCAGGAACTTCGACTTGCTTAATGGATCTCGAGAGAGTCCCCAAGAACACTGTCACAAGTCTAGACGGACCCTGAGGTCACCCCAGCAACGCAAAGCAGCTCCATGTGCCCCAAACCAACTCGAGATGAGGCCCCATTCCCCTGCATTGACTCCAGAGCCATTCCCCATTCCCCATTCAACAAGACCGGTGGCTCGACTTCCTTCAGGCAACTCCAGAGATGCCCCGAGAACACTGTCCCAAGTCTAGAGGAACACCAACTTCAGCACAGCGACTCGAGGAATGCTCCGTGTACACCAAATCGTCTAGAGATGAGAGGTGATTCCCTGGCTTAGGCTCAAGACGTATGCTAACTTTCCAGAAGCACCTCAAGAGGAGGATTCTCTCAGCAATAAGTATGTTGGAGGGACACCGAGTTTGCTGCCTCAAGGGGAATATACCGCGAGAAGCCCTAAATTGAAAGCAGGCTGGGTTTCCTTGCAGTGGCTTGAATACAGGCTCGTCTTTCATCTAACAAAATGAAGGGATGTCTGAATCCCCTGTGGAGACCTTAGAGAAAGCCCTAGGTCCCTGCCTCATTTTGACGGAGTGCCTCACATCCCGTTGACACCTCGAGAGGCACGCGGAGCTCACTGCTTCAAAAGGTGACGATGCCTGACTCCTCTTGAATACTGATAGGAATCCCAAAATCCCTGTGGCTACTGGAAAGGGTCCTTGGGTGCCCTGCTTCACCTAGAGAAGCGTCCCTTTTGCCTTGCAAAGCCTCGAAGAGATTCCTGAGGTGTCCCTCGTTACTAGACAGGAGTCCTGACGTCACTGAAGAAACTCGTGTTTTGAAGAGCCATCCCCGCGGTAAGTCGAGAACATACCCCAGGTCCCGGCCAAAACTCGAGGAAAACCATGAGACTTCCCCCTAGAGGCGAGATGAGGCCCCATTCCCCTGCAGTGCATTCAGAGCTATTCCGTGATCCCATTCAAACAAGTCAGGAGCTTCGACATGCTTAATGGATCTCGAGACAGTCCGCAAGGTCACCAGTCTAGACGGACCCTGAGGTCACCCCGCAACGGAAAGCAGCTCCATGTGCCCCACACCAACTCGAGATGAGGCCCCATTCCCCTGCATTGACTCCAGAGCCATTCCCCGTTCCCCATTCATCAAGACCATTGGCTCGACTTCCTTCAGGCAACTCCAGATATGCCCCGAGAACACTGTCCCAAGTCTAGAGGAACACCAACTTCAGCACAGCAACCAGAGGAATGCTGCGTGTACCCCATATCGTCTCGAGATGAGAGCTGATTCCCTGCCTTAGGCTCAAGACCTATGCCAATTTCCAGAAGCACCTCAACAGGAGGCTTCTCTCAGCAATAGGTATGTGGGAGGGACCCCGAGTTTGCTGCCTCAAGGGGAATATAGAGCGAGAAGCCCTAACTTGAAAGGAGGCCGGATTTCCTTGCAGTGGCTTGAATACAGGCTCGTCTTTCATCTCACAACATGAAGGGATGTCTGAATCCCCTGTGGAGACCTTAGAGAAAGCCCTAGGTCCCTGCTTCATTATGACGGAATGCCTCACATCCCGTTGACACCTGGACAGGCACGCAGAGTTCATTGCTTCAAAAGGTGACGATGAATGAATCCTCTTGAAAACTGATAGGAATCCCAAAATCCCTGTGGCTACTGGAAAGGGTCCTTGGGTGCCCTGCCTCACCTCGAGAAGCGTCCCTTTTGCCCTGCCAAGGCTGGAAGAGATTCCTGAGGTTTCCCTCGTTACTAGACAGGAGTCCTGACGTCACTGAAGAAACTCGTGTTTTGAAGGGCCATCCCCGCCGTAAGTCGAGAACATACCCCAGGTCCCCGCCGCAACTCGAGAAAAACCGTGAGACTTCCCCCTAGAGGCGAGATGAGGCCCCATTCCCCATCAGTGCATGCAGAGCTATTCCGTGATCCCATTCAAACAAATCAGGAGCTTCGACTTGCTTAATGGTTCTCGAGACAGTCCCCTAGAACACTGTCACAAGTCTAGACGGACCCTGAGGTCACCCCAGCAACGCAAAGCAGCTCCATGTGCCCCAAACCAACTCGAGATGAGGCCCCATTCCCCTGCATTGACTCCAGAGCCATTCCCCGTTCCCCATTCAACACGACCGTTGGCTCGACTTCCTTCAGGCAACTCCAGAGATGCCCCGAGAACACTGTCCCAAGTCTAGAGGAACACCAACTTCAGCACAGCAACCAGAGGAATGCTTCGTGTACCCCAAATCGTCTCGAGATGAGAGCTGATTCCCTTCCTTAGGCTCAAGACCTATGCCAATTTCCAGAAGCACCTCAACAGGAGGCTTCTCTCAGCAATAGGTGTGTGGGAGGGACCCCGAGTTTGCTGCCTCAAGGGGAATATACCGCGAGAAGCCCTAAATTGAAAGCAGGCCGGGTTTCCTTGCAGTGGCTTGAATACAGGCTCGTCTTTCATCTAACAACATGAAGGGATGTCTGAATCCCCTGTGGAGACCTTAGAGAAAGCCCTAGGTCCCTGCCTCATTTTGACGGAATGCCTCACATCCCGTTGACACCTCGAGAGGCACGCGGAGTTCACTGCTTCAAAAGGTGACGATGCCTGACTCCTCTTGAATACTGATAGGAATCCCAAAATCACAGTGGCTACTGGAAAGGGTCCTTGGGTGCCCTGCTTCACCACGAGAAGCGTCCCTTTTGCCCTGCCAAGCCTCGAAGAGATTCCTGAGGTGTCCCTCGTTACTAGACAGGAGTCCTGACGTCACTGAAGAAACTCGTGTTTTGAAGGGCCATCCCCGCCGTAAGTCGAGAACATAACCCAGGTCCCCGCCAAAACTCGAGAAAAACCATGAGACTTCCCCCTAGAGGCGAGATGAGGCCCCATTCCCCTGCAGTGCATGCAGAGCTATTCCGTGATCTCATTCAAACAAGTCAGGAGCTTCGACTTGCTTAATGGATCTCGAGACAGTCCGCAAGGTCACCAGTCTAGACGGACCCTGAGGTCACTCCAGCAACGCAAAGCAGCTCCATGTGCCCCAAATCAATTCGAGATGAGGCCCGATTCGCCTGCATTGACTCCAGAGCCATTTCCCTTTCCCCATTCAACATGACCGGTGGCTCGATTTCTTTCAGGCAACTCCAGAGATGCCCCGAGAACACTGTCCCAAGTCTAGAGGAACACCAACTTCAGCACAGCACCTTGAGGAATGCTCCGTGTATCCCAAAACGTCTCGAGATGAGAGCTGATTCCCTGGCTTAGGCTCAATACTTATGCCAACTTTCCAGAAGCACCTCAAGAGGTGGCTTCTCTCAGCAATAGGTATGTGGGAGGGACCCCGAGTTTGCTGCCGCAAGGGGAATATACAGCGAGAAGCCCTAAATTGAAAGGAGGCCGGATTTCCTTGCAGTGTCTTGAATACATGCTCGTCTTTCATCTCACAACATGAAGGGATGTCTGAATCCCCTGTGGAGACCTTAGAGAAAGCCCTAGGTCCCTGCATCATTTTGACGGAATGCCTCACATCCCACTGACACCTCGAGAGGCACGCGGAGTTCATTGCTTCAAAAGGTGACGGTGCCTGACTCTTCTTGAATACTGATAGGATTCCCAAAATCCCTGTGGCTACAGGAAAGGGTCCTTGGGTGCCCTGCCTCACCTCGAGAAGCGTCCCTTTTGCCCTGCCAAGCCTCGAAGAGATTCCTGAGGTGTCCCTCGTTACTAGACAGGAGTCCTGACGTCACTGAAGAAATTCGTGTTTTGAAGGGCCATCCCCGCCGTAAGTCGAGAACATACCCCAGGTCCCCGCCGCAACTCGAAAAAAACCATGAGACTTCCCCCTAGAGGCGAGATGAGGCCCCATTCCCCTGCAGTGCATGCAGAGCTATTCCGTGATCCCATTCCAACAAGTCAGGAGCTTCGACTTGCTTAATGGATCTCGAGACAGTCCCCAAGAACACTGTCACCAGTCTAGACGGACCCTGAGGTCACCCCAGCAACGCAAAGCAGCTCCATGTGCCCCAAATCAACTCGAGATGAGGCCCGATTCCCCTGCATTAACTCCAGAGCCGTTCCCCGTTCCCCAATAAACACGACCGGTGGCTCGACTTCCTTCAGGCCACTCCAGAGATGCCCCGAGAACACTGTCCCAAGTCTAGAGGAACACCAACTTCAGCACAGCCACTCGAGGAATGCTCCGTGTACCTCAAATCGTCTCAAGATGAGAGCTGATTCCCTGGTTTAGGCTCAAGACGTATGCCAACTTTCCAGAAGCACCTCAGGAGGAGGCTTCTCTAAGCAATAGGTGTGTGGGAGGGACCCCGAGTTTGCTGCCTCAAGGGGAATATACCGCGAGAAGCCCTAAATTGAAAGCAGGCCGGGTTTCCTTGCAGTGGCTTGAATTCAGGCTCGTCTTTCATCTAACAACATGAAGGGATGTCTGAATCCCCTGCGGAGACCTTAGAGAAAGCCCTAGGTCCCTGCCTCATTTTGACGGAATGCCTCACATCCCGTTGACACCTCGAGAGGCACGCGGAGCTCACTGCTTCAAAAGGTGACGATGCCTGACTCCTCTTGAATACTGATAGGAATCCCAAAATCCCTGTGGCTCCTGGAAAGGGTCCTTGGGTGCCCTGCTTCACCTCGAGAAGCGTCCCTTTTGCCTTGCAAAGCCTCGAAGAGATTCCTGAGGTGTCCCTCGTTACTAGACAGGAGTCCTGACGTCACTGAAGAAACTTGTGTTTTGAAGGCCCATCCCCGCGGTAAGTCGAGAACATACCCCAGGTCCCCGCCAAAACTCGAGAAAAACCATGAGACTTCCCCCTAGAGGCGAGATGAGGCCCCATTCCCCTGCAGTGCATGCAGAGCTATTCCGTGATCCCATTCAAACAAGTCAGGAGCTTCGACATGCTTAATGGATCTCGAGACAGTCCGCAAGGTCACCAGTCTAGACGGACCCTGAGGTCACCCCGCAAAACAAAGCTGCTCCATGTGCCCCAAACCAACTCGAGATGAGGCCCGATTCCTCTGCATTGACTCCAGAGCCATTCCCCGTTCCCCATTCAACATGACCGGTGGCTCGACTTCCTTCAGGCAACTCCAGAGATGCCCCGAGAACACTGTCCCAAGTCTAGAGGAACACCAACTTCAGCACAGCAACCAGAGGAATGCTGCGTGTACCGCATATCGTCTCGAGATGAGAGCTGATTCCCTGCCTTAGGCTCAAGACCTATGCCAATTTCCAGAAGCACCTCAACAGGAGGCTTCTCTCAGCAATAGGTATGTGGGAGGGATCCCGAGTTTGCTGCCTCAAGGGGAATATAGAGCGAGAAGCCCTAACTTGAAAGGAGGCCGGATTTCCTTGCAGTGGCTTGAATACAGGCTCGTCTTTCATCTCACAACATGAAGGGATGTCTGAATCCCCTGTGGAGACCTTAGAGAAAGCCCTAGGTCCCTGCTTCATTATGACGGAATGCCTCACATCCCGTTGACACCTGGACAGGCACGCAGAGTTCATTGCTTCAAAAGGTGACGATGAATGAATCCTCTTGAATACTGATAGGAATCCCAAAATCCCTGTGGCTACTGGAAAGGGTCCTTGGGTGCCCTGCCTCACCTCGAGAAGCGTCCCTTTTGCCCTGCCAAGGCTGGAAGAGATTCCTGGGGTGTCCCTCTTTACTAGACAGGAGTCCTGACGACACTGAAGAAATTCGTGTTTTGAAGGGCCATCCCCGCCGTAAGTCGAGAACATACCCCAGGTCCCCGCCGCAACTCAAGAAAAACCATGAGACTTCCCCCTAGAGGCAAGATGAGGCCCCATTCCCCTGCAGTGCATGCAGAGCTATTCCGTGATCCCATTCAAACAAGTCAGGAGCTTCGACTTGCTAAATGGTTCTCGAGACAGTCCCCTAGAACACTGTCACAAGTCTAAACGGACCCTGAGGTCACTCCAGCAACGCAAAGCAGCTCCATGTGCCCCAAATCAACTCGAGATGAGGCCCGATTCGCCTGAATTGACTCCAGAGCCATTCCCCGTTCCCCATTCAACATGACCGGTGGCTCGACTTCCTTCAGGCAAGTCCAGAGATGCCCCGAGAACACTGTCCCAAGTCTAGAGGAACACCAACTTCAGCACAATAACTCGAGGAATGCTCCGTGTACCCCAAATCGTCTCGAGATGAGAGCTGATTCCCTGGCTTAGGCTCAAGACGTATGCCAACTTTCCAGAAGCACCTCAAGAGGTGGCTTCTCTCAGCAATAGGTATGTGGGAGGGACCTCGAGTTTGCTGCCTCAAGGGGAATATACAGCGAGAAGCTCTAACTTGAAAGGAGGCCGGATTTCCTTGCAGTGGCTTGAATACAGGCTCGTCTTTCATCTCACAACATGAAGGGATGTCTGAATCCCCTGTGGAGACCTTAGAGAATGACCTAGGTCCCTGCCTCATTTTGACGGAATGCCTCACATCCCGCTGACACCTCGAGAGTCACGCGGAGTTCATTGCTTCAAAAGGTGACGGTGCCTGACTCCTCTTGAATACTGATAGGAATCCCAAAATATCTGTGGCTACTGGAAAGGGTCCTTGGGTGCCCTGCCTCACCTCGAGAAGCGTCCCTTTTGCCCTGCCAAGCCTCGAAGAGATTCCTGAGGTGTCCCTCGTTACTAGACAGGAGTCCTGTCGTCACTGAAGAAACTCGTGTTTTGAAGGGCCATCCCCGCCGTAAGTCGAGAACATAACCCAGGTCCCCGCCAAAACTCGAGAAAAACCATGAGACTTCCCCCTAGAGGCGAGATGAGGCCCCATTCCCCTGCAGTGCATGCAGAGCTATTCCGTGATCCCATTCAAACAAGTCAGGAGCTTCGACTTGCTTAATGGATCTCGAGACAGTCCGCAAGGTCACCAGTCTAGACGGACCCTGAGGTCACTCCAGCAACGCAAAGCAGCTCCATGTGCCCCAAATCAATTCGAGATGAGGCCCGATTCGCCTGCATTGACTCCAGAGCCACTTCCCGTTCCCCATTCAACATGACCGGTGGCTCGATTTCTTTCAGGCAACTCCAGAGATGCCCCGAGAACACTGTCCCAAGTCTAGAGGAACACCAACTTCAGCACAGCACCTTGAGGAATGCTCCGTGTATCCCAAAACGTCTCGAGATGAGAGCTGATTCCCTGGCTTAGGCTCAATACTTATGCCAACTTTCCAGAAGCACCTCAAGAGGTGGCTTCTCTCAGCAATAGGTATGTGGGAGGGACCCCGAGTTTGCTGCCGCAAGGGGAATATACAGCGAGAAGCCCTAACTTGAAAGGAGGCCGGATTTCCTTGCAGTGTCTTGAATACAGGCTCGTCTTTCATCTCACAACATGAAGGGATGTCTGAATACCCTGTGGAGACCTTAGAGAAAGCCCTAGGTCCCTGCATCATTTTGACGGAATGCCTCACATCCCACTGACACCTCGAGAGGCACGCGGAGTTCATTGCTTCAAAAGGTGACGGTGCCTGACTCTTCTTGAATACTGATAGGAATCCCAAAATCCCTGTGGCTACAGGAAAGGGTCCTTGGGGCCCTGCCTCACCTCGAGAAGCGTCCCTTTTGCCCTGCCAAGCCTCGAAGAGATTCCTGAGGTGTCCCTCGTTACTAGACAGGAGTCCTGACGTCACTGAAGAAACTCGTTTTGAAGGGCCATCCCCGCTGTAAGTCGAGAACATACCCTACGTCCCCGCCGCAACTCGAGAAAAACCATGAGACTTCCCCCTAGAGGCGAGATGAGGCCCCATTCCCCTGCAGTGCATGCAGAGCTATTCCGTGATCCCATTCCAACAAGTCAGGAGCTTCGACTTGCTTAATGGATCTCAAGACAGTCCCCAAGAACACTGTCACCAGTCTAGACGGACCCTGAGGTCACCCCAGCAACGCAAAGCAGCTCCATGTGCCCCAAATCAACTCGAGATGAGGCCCGATTCCACTGCATTAACTCCAGAGCCGTTCCCCGTTCCCCATTAAACACGACCGGTGGCTCGACTTCCTTCAGGCCACTCCAGAGATGCCCCGAGAACACTGTCCCAAGTCTAGAGGAACACCAACTTCAGCACAGCCACTCGAGGAATGCTCCGTGTACCTCAAATCGTCTCAAGATGAGAGCTGATTCCCTGGCTTAGGCTCAAGACGTATGCCAACTTTCCAGAAGCACCTCAGGAGGAGGCTTCTCTCAGCAATAGGTGTGTGGGAGGGACCCCGAGTTTGCTGCCTCAAGGGGAATATACCGCGAGAAGCCCTAAATTGAAAGCAGGCCGGGTTTCCTTGCAGTGGCTTGAATTCAGGCTCGTCTTTCATCTAACAACATGTAGGGAGGTCTGAATCCACTGTGGAGACCTTAGAGAAAGCCCTAGGTCCCTGCCTCATTTTGACGGAATGCCTCACATCCCCTTGAAACCTCGAGAGGCACGCGGAGTTCATTGCTTCAAAAGGTGACGATGCCTGACTCCTCTTGAATACTGATAGGAATCCCAAAATCCCTGTGGCTACTGGAAAGGGTCCTTGGGTGCCCTGCTTCACCTCGAGAAGCGTCCCTTTTGCCTTGCAAAGCCTTGAAGAGATTCCTGAGGTGTCCCTCGTTACTAGACAGGAGTCCTGACGTCACTGAAGAAACTCGTGTTTTGAAGGGCCATCCCCGCGGTAAGTCGAGAACATACCCCAGGTCCCCGCCAAAACTCGAGAAAAACCATGAGACTTCCCCCTAGAGGCGAGATGAGGCCCCATTCCCCTGCGGTGCATGCAGAGCTATTCCGTGATCCCATTCAAACAAGTCAGGAGCTTCGACATGCTTAATGGATCTCGAGACAGTCCGCAAGGTCACCAGTCTAGACGGACCCTGAGGTCACCCCGCAACGCAAAGCAGCTCCATGTGCCCCAAACCAACTCGAGATGAGGCCCCATTCCCCTGCATTGACTCCAGAGCCATTCCCCGTTCCCCATTCAACATGACCGGTGGCTCGATTTCTTTCAGGCAACTCCAGAGATGCCCCGAGAACACTGTCCCAAGTCTAGAGGAACACCAACTTCAGCACAGCAACTCGAGGAATGCTCGGTGTACCCCAAATCATCTCGAGATGAGAGCTGATTCCCTGGCTTAGGCTCAAGACGTATGCCAACTTTCCAGAAGGACCTCAAGAGGTGGCTTCTCTCAGCAATAGGTATGTGGAGGGACCCCGAGTTTGCTGCCTCAAGGGGAATATACATCGAGAAGCCCTAACTTGAAAGGAGGCCGGATTTCCTTGCAGTGTCTTGAATACAGGCTCGTCTTTCATCTCACAACATGAAGGGATGTCTGAATCCCCTGTGGAGACCATAGAGAAAGCCTTAGGTCCCTGCCTCATTTTGACGGAATGCCTCACATCCCGCTGACACCTCGAGAGGCACACGGAGTTCACTGCTTCAAAAGGTGACGATGCCTGACTCCTCTTGAATACTGATAGGAATCCCAAAATCCCTGTGGCTACTGGAAAGGGTCCTTGGGTGCCCTGCCTCACCTCGAGAAGCGTCCCTTTTGCCCTGCCAAGACTCGAAGAGATTCCTGAGGTGTCCCTCGTTACTAGACAGGAGTCCTGACGTCACTGAATAAACACGAGTTTTGAAGGGCCATCCCCGCCGTAAGTCGAGAACATACCGCAGGTCCCCACCGCAACTCGAGAAAAACCATGAGACTTCCCCCTAGAGGCGAGGTGAGGCCCCATTCCCATGCAGTGCATGCAGAGCTATTCCGTGATCCCATTCAAACAAGTCAGGAGCTTCGACTTGCTTAATGGATCTCGAGACAGTCCCCAAGAACACTGTCACAAGTCTAGACGGACCCTGAGGTCACCCCAGCAACGCAAAGCAGCTCCATGTGCCCCAAATCAACTCGAGATGAGGCCCGATTCCCCTGCATTGACTCCAGAGCCATTCCCCGTTCCCCATTCAACACGACAGGTGGCTCGACTTCCTTCAGGCAACTCCAGAGATAACCCGAGAACACTGTCCCAATTCTAGAGGAACACCAACTTCAGCACATCGACTCGAGGAATGCTCCGTGTACCCCAAATCGTCTCGAGATGAGAGCTGATTCCCTGGCTTAGGATCTAGACGTATGCCAACTTTCCAGAAGCACCTCAAGAGGAGGATTCTCACAACAATAGGTATGTGGGAGGGACACCGAGTTTGCTGCCTCAAGGGGAATATACAGTGAGAAGCCCTAAATTGAAAGCAGGCCGGATTTCCTTGCAGTGGCTTGAATACAGGCTCGTCTTTCATCTAACAACATGAAGGGATGTCTGAATCCCCTGTGGAGACCTTAGAGAAAGCCCTAGGTCCCTGCCTCATTTTGACGGAGTGCCTCACATCCCGTTGACACCTCGAGAGGCACACGGAGTTCACTGGTTCAAAAGTTGACGATGCCTGACTCCTCTTGAATACTGATAGGAATCCCAAAATCCCTGTGGCTACTGGAAAGGGTCCTTGGGTGCCCTGCTTCACCTCGAGAAGCGTCCCTTTTGCCTTGCAAAGCCTCGAAGAGATTCCTGAGGTGTCCCTCGTTACTAGACAGGAGTCCTGACGTCACTGAAGAAACTCGTGTTTTGAAGGGCCATCCCCGCGGTAAGTCGAGAACATACCCCAGGTCCCCGCCGCAACTCGAGAAAAACCATGAGACTTCCCCCTAGAGGCGAGATGAGGACCCATTCCCCTGCAGTGCATGCAGAGCTATTCCGTGATCCCATTCAAACAAGTCAGGAGCTTCGACATGCTTAATGGATCTCGAGACAGTCCGCAAGGTCACCAGTCTAGACGGACCCTGAGGTCACCACGCAACGCAAAGCAGCTCCATGTGCCCCAAACCAACTGGAGATGAGGCCCTATTCCCCTGCATTGACTCCAGAGCCATTCCCCGTTCCCCATTCAACACGACAGGTGGCTCGACTTCCTTCAGGCCACTCCAGAGATGCCCCGATAACACTGTCCCAAGTCTAGAGGAACACCAACTTCAGCACAGCCACTCGAGGAATGCTCCGTGTACCTCAAATCGTCTCAAGATGAGAGCTGATTCCCTGGCTTAGGCTCAAGACGTATGCCAACTTTCCAGAAGCACCTCAGGAGGAGGCTTCTCTCAGCAATAGGTGTGTGGGAGGGACCCCGAGTTTGCTGCCTCAAGGGGAATATACCGCGAGAAGCCCTAAATTGAAAGCAGGCCGGGTTTCCTTACAGTGGCTTGAATTCAGGCTCGTCTTTCATCTAACAACATGAAGGGATGTCTGAATCCACTGTGGAGACCTTAGAGAAAGCCCTAGGTCCCTGCCTCATTTTGACGGAATGCCTCACATCCCCTTGACACCTCGAGAGGCACGCGGAGTTCATTGCTTCAAAAGGTGACGATGCCTGACTCCTCTTGAATACTGATAGGAATCCCAAAATCCCTGTGGCTACTGGAAAGGGTCCTTGGGTGCCCTGCTTCACCTCGAGAAGCGTCCCTTTTGCCTTGCAAAGCCTTGAAGAGATTCCTGAGGTGTCCCTCGTTACTAGACAGGAGTCGTGACGTCACTGAAGAAACTCGTGTTTTGAAGGGCCATCCCCGCGGTAAGTCGAGAACATACCCCAGGTCCCCGCCGCAACTCGAGAAAAACCATGAGACTTCCCCCTAGAGGCGAGATGAGGCCCCATTCCCCTGCAGTGCATGCAGAGCTATTCCGTGATCCCATTCAAACAAGTCAGGAGCTTCGACTTGCTTAATGGATCTCGAGACAGTCCGCAAGGTCACCAGTCTAGACGGACCCTGAGGTCACTCCACCAACGCAAAGCAGCTCCATGTGCCCCAAATCAATTCGAGATGAGGCCCGATTCCCCTGCATTGACTCCAGAGCCATTCCCCGTTCCCCATTCAACATGACCGGTGGCTCGATTTCTTTCAGGCAACTTCAGAGATGACCCGAGAACACTGTCCCAAGTCTAGGGGAACACCAACTTCAGCACAGCAACTCGAGGAATGCTCCGTGTACCCCAAATCATCTCGAGATGAGAGCTGATTCCCTGGCTTAGGCTCAAAACGTATGCCAACTTTCCAGAAGCACCTCAAGAGGTGGCTTCTCTCAGCAATAGGTATGTGGAGGGACCCCGAGTTTGCTGCCTCAAGGGGAATATACATCGAGAAGCCCTAACTTGAAAGGAGGCCGGATTTCCTTGCAGTGGGTTGAATACAGGCTCGTCTTTCATCTCACAACATGAAGGGAAGTCTGAATCCCCTATGGAGACCGTAGAGAAAGCCTTAGGTCCCTGCCTCATTTTGACGGAATGCCTCACATCCCGCTGACACCTCGAGAGGCACACGGAGTTCATTGCTTCAAAAGGTGACGGTGCCTGACTCTTCTTGAATACTGATAGGAATCCCAAAATCCCTGTGGCTACTGGAAAGGGTCCTTGGGTGCCCTGCCTCACCTCGAGAAGCGTCCCTTTTGCCCTGCCAAGCCTCGAAGAGATTCCTGAGGTGTCCCTCGTTACTAGACAGGAGTCCTGACGTCACTGAATAAACACGAGTTTTGAAGGGCCATCCCCGCCGTAAGTCGAGAACATACCGCAGGTCCCCACCGCAACTCGAGAAAAACCATGAGACTTCCCCCTAGAGGCGAGGTGAGGCCCCATTCCCATGCAGTGCATGCAGAGCTATTCCGTGATCCCATTCAAACAAGTCAGGAGCTTCGACTTGCTTAATGGATCTAGAGACAGTCCCCAAGAACACTGTCACAAGTCTAGACGGACCCTGAGGTCACCCCAGCAACGCAAAGCAGCTCCATGTGCCCCAAACCAACTCGAGATGAGGCCCGATTCCTCTAAATTGACTCCAGAGCCATTCCCCGTTCCCGATTCAACACGACCGGTGGCTCGACTTCCTTCAGGCAACTCCAGAGATGCCCCGAGAACACTGTCCCAAGTCTAGAGGAACACCAACTTCAGCACAGCCACTCGAGGAATGCTCCGTGCACCTCAAATCGTCTCAAGATGAGAGCTGATTCCCTGGCTTAGGCTCAAGACGTATGCCAACTTTCCAGAAGCACCTCAGGAGGAGGCTTCTCTCAGCAATAGGTGTGTGGGAGGGACCCCGAGTTTGCTGCCTCAAGGGGAATATACCGCGAGAAGCCCTAAATTGAAAGCAGGTCGGGTTTCCTTGCAGTGGCTTGAATTCAGGCTCGTCTTTCATCTAACAACATGAAGGGATGTCTGAATCCCCTGTGGAGACCTTAGAGAAAGCCCTAGGTCCCTGCCTCATTTTGACGGAGTGCCTCACATCCCGTTGACACCTCGAGAGGCACGCGGAGCTCACTGCTTCAAAAGGTGACGATGCCTGACTCCTCTTGAATACTGATAGGAATCCCAAAATCCCTGTGGCTACTGGAAAGGGTCCTTGGGTGCCCTGCCTCACCTCGAGAAGCGTCCCTTTTGCCCTGCCAAGCCTCGAAGAGATTCCTGAGGTGTCCCTCGTTACTAGACAGGAGTCCTGACGTCACTGAAGAAACTCGTGTTTTGAAGAGCCATCCCCGCGGTAAGTCGAGAACATACCCCAGGTCCCCGCCAAAACTCGAGGAAAACCATGAGACTTCCCCCTAGAGGCGAGATGAGGCCCCATTCCCCTGCAGTGCATGCAGAGCTATTCCGTGATCCCATTCAAACAAGTCAGGAGCTTCGACATGCTTAATGGTCTCAAGACAGTCCGCAAGGTCACCAGTCTAGACGGACCCTGAGGTCACTCCAGCAACGCAAAGCAGCTCCATGTGCCCCAAATCAATTCGAGATGAGGCCCGATTCGCCTGAATTGACTCCAGAGCCATTCCCCGTTCCCCATTCAACATGACCGGTGGCTCGACTTCCTTCAGGCCACTCCAGAGATGCCCCGAGAACACTGTCCCAAGTCTAGAGGAACACCAACTTCAGCACAATAACTCGAGGAATGCTCCGTGTACTCCAAATCGTCTCGAGATGAGAGCTGATTCCCTGGCTTAGGCTCAAGACGTATGCCAACTTTCCAGAAGCACCTCAAGAGGTGGCTTCTCTCAGCAATAGGTATGTGGGAGGGACCCCGAGTTTGCTGCCGCAAGGGGAATATACAGCGAGAAGCCCTAACTTGAAAGGAGGCCGGATTTCCTTGCAGTGTCTTGAATACAGGCTCGTCTTTCATCTCACAACATGAAGGGATGTCTGAATCCCCTGTGGAGACCTTAGAGAAAGCCCTAGGTCCCTGCATCATTTTGACGGAATGCCTCACATCCCACTGACACCTCGAGAGGCACGCGGAGTTCATTGCTTCAAAAGGTGACGGTGCCTGACTCTTCTTGAATACTGATAGGAATCCCAAAATCCCTGTGGCTACAGGAAATGGTCCTTGGGTGCCCTGCCTCACCTCGAGAAGCGTCCCTTTTGCCCTGCCAAGCCTCGAAGAGATTCCTGAGGTGTCCCTCGTTACTAGACAGGAGTCCTGACGTCACTGAAGAAACTCGTTTTGAAGGGCCATCCCCGCTGTAAGTCGAGAACATACCCCACGTCCCCGCCGCAACTCGAGAAAAACCATGAGACTTCCCCCTAGAGGCGAGATGAGGCCCCATTCCCCTGCAGTGCATGCAGAGCTATTCCGTGATCCCATTCCAACAAGTCAGGAGCTTCGACTTGCTTAATGGATCTCGAGACAGTCCCCAAGAACACTGTCACCAGTCTAGACGGACCCTGAGGTCACCCCAGCAACGCAAAGCAGCTCCATGTGCCCCAAATCAACTCGAGATGAGGCCCGATTCCCCTGCATTAACTCCAGAGCCGTTCCCCGTTCCCCAATAAACACGACCGGTGGCTCGACTTCCTTCAGGCCACTCCAGAGATGCCCCGAGAACACTGTCCCAAGTCTAGAGGAACACCAACTTCAGCACAGCCACTCGAGGAATGCTCCGTGTACCTCAAATCGTCTCAAGATGAGAGCTGATTCCCTGGCTTAGGCTCAAGACGTATGCCAACTTTCCAGAAGCACCTCAGGAGGAGGCTTCTCTCAGCAATAGGTGTGTGGGAGGGACCCCGAGTTTGCTGCCTCAAGGGGAATATACCGCGAGAAGCCCTAAATTGAAAGCAGGCCGGGTTTCCTTGCAGTGGCTTGAATTCAGGCTCGTCTTTCATCTAACAACATGTAGGGAGGTCTGAATCCACTGTGGAGACCTTAGAGAAAGCCCTAGGTCCCTGCCTCATTTTGACGGAATGCCTCACATCCCCTTGACACCTCGAGAGTCACGCGGAGTTCATTGCTTCAAAAGGTGACGATGCCTGACTCCTCTTGAATACTGATAGGAATCCCAAAATCCCTGTGGCTACTGGAAAGGGTCCTTGGGTGCCCTGCTTCACCTCGAGAAGCGTCCCTTTTGCCTTGCAAAGCCTCGAAGAGATTCCTGAGGTGTCCCTCGTTACTAGACAGGAGTCCTGACGTCACTGAAGAAACTCGTGTTTTGAAGGGCCATCCCCGCGGTAAGTCGAGAACATACCCCAGGTCCCCGCCAAAACTCGAGAAAAACCATGAGACTTCCCCCTAGAGGCGAGATGAGGCCCCATTCCCCTGCAGTGCATGCAGAGCTATTCCGTGATCCCATTCAAACAAGTCAGGAGCTTCGACATGCTTAATGGATCTCGAGACAGTCCGCAAGGTCACCAGTCTAGACGGACCCTGAGGTCACCCCGCAAAACAAAGCTGCTCCATGTGCCCCAAACCAACTCGAGATGAGGCCCGATTCCTCTGCATTGACTCCAGAGCCATTCCCCGTTCCCCATTCAACATGACCGGTGGCTCGACTTCCTTCAGGCAACTCCAGAGATGCCCCGAGAACACTGTCCCAAGTCTAGAGGAACACCAACTTCAGCACAGCAACCAGAGGAATGCTGCGTGTACCCCATATCGTCTCGAGATGAGAGCTGATTCCCTGCCTTAGGCTCAAGACCTATGCCAATTTCCAGAAGCACCTCAACAGGAGGCTTCTCTCAGCAATAGGTATGTGGGAGGGACCCCGAGTTTGCTGCCTCAAGGGGAATATAGAGCGAGAAGCCCTAACTTGAAAGGAGGCCGGATTTCCTTGCAGTGGCTTGAATACAGGCTCCTCTTTCATCTCACAACATGAAGGGATGTCTGAATCCCCTGTGGAGACCTTAGAGAAAGCCCTAGGTCCCTGCTTCATTATGACGGAATGCCTCACATCCCGTTGACACCAGGACAGGCACGCAGAGTTCATTGCTTCAAAAGGTGACGATGAATGAATCCTCTTGAAAACTGATAGGAATCCCAAAATCCCTGTGGCTACTGGAAAGGGTCCTTGGGTTCCCTGCCTCACCTCGAGAAGCGTCCCTTTTGCCCTGCCAAGGCTGGAAGAGATTCCTGGGGTGTCCCTCGTTATTAGACACGAGTCCTGACGTCACTGAAGAAACTCGTGTTTTGAAGGGCCATCCCCGCCGTAAGTCGAGAACATACCCCAGGTCCCCGCCGCAACTCAAGAAAAACCATGAGACTTCCCCCTAGAGGCGAGATGAGGCCCCATTCCCCTGCAGTGCATGCAGAGCTATTCCGTGATCCCATTCAAACAAGTCAGGAGCTTCGAATTGCTTAATGGTTCTCGAGACAGTCCCCTAGAACACTGTCACAAGTCTAGACGGACCCTGAGGTCACTCCAGCAACGCAAAGCAGCTCCATGTGCCCCAAATCAACTCGAGATGAGGCCCGATTCGCCTGAATTGACTCCAGAGCCATTCCCCGTTCCCCATTCAACATGACCGGTGGCTCGACTTCCTTCAGGCAACTCCAGAGATGCCCCGAGAACACTGTCCCAAGTCTAGAGGAACACCAACTTCAGCACAGCCACTCGAGGAATGCTCCGTGTACCTCAAATCGTCTCAAGATGAGAGCTGATTCCCTGGCTTAGGCTCAAGACGTATGCCAACTTTCCAGAAGCACCTCAGGAGGAGGCTTCTCTCAGCAATAGGTGTGTGGGAGGGACCCCGAGTTTGCTTCCTCAAGGGGAATATACCGCGAGAAGCCCTAAATTGAAAGCAGGCTGGGTTTCCTTGCAGTGGCTTGAATTCAGGCTCGTCTTTCATCTAACAACATGAAGGGATGTCTGAATCCACTGTGGAGACCTTAGAGAAAGCCCTAGGTCCCTGCCTCATTTTGACGGAATGCCTCACATCCCCTTGACACCTCGAGAGGCACGCGGAGTTCATTGCTTCAAAAGGTGACGATGCCTGACTCCTCTTGAATACTGATAGGAATCCCAAAATCCCTGTGGCTACTGGAAAGGGTCCTTGGGTGCCCTGCTTCACCTCGAGAAGCGTCCCTTTTGCCTTGCAAAGCCTCGAAGAGATTCCTGAGGTGTCCCTCGTTACTAGACAGGAGTCCTGACGTCACTGAAGAAACTCGTGTTTTGAAGGGCCATCCCCGCGGTAAGTCGAGAACATACCCCAGGTCCCAGCCAAAACTCGAGAAAAACCATGAGACTTCCCCCTAGAGGCGAGATGAGGCCCCTTTCCCCTGCAGTGCATGCAGAGCTATTCCGTGATCCCATTCAAACAAGTCAGGAGCTTCGACTTGCTTAATGGATCTCGAGACAGTCCGCAAGGTCACCAGTCTAGACGGACCCTGAGGTCACTCCACCAACGCAAAGCAGCTCCATGTGCCCCAAATCAATTCGAGATGAGGCCCGATTCCCCTGCATTGACTCCAGAGCCATTCCCCGTTCCACATTCAACATGACCGGTGGCTCGACTTCCTTCAGGCCACTCCAGAGATGCCCCGAGAACACTGTCCCAAGTCTAGAGGAACACCAACTTCAGCACAATCACTCGAGGAATGCTCCGTGTACTCCAAATTGTCTCGAGATTAGAGCTGATTCCCTGGCTTAGGCTCAAGACGTATGCCAACTTTCCAGAAGCACCTCAAGAGGTGGCTTCTCTCAGCAATAGGTATGTGGGAGGGACCCCGAGTTTGCTGATGCAAGGGGAATATACAGCGAGAAGCCCTAACTTGAAAGGAGGCCGGATTTCCTTGCAGTGTCTTGAATACAGGCTCGTCTTTCATCTCACAACATGAAGGGATGTCTGAATCCCCTGTGGAGACCTTAGAGAAAGCCCTAGGTCCCTGCATCATTTTGACGGAATGCCTCACATCCCACTGACACCTCGAGAGGCACGCGGAGTTCATTGCTTCAAAAGGTGACGGTGCCTGACTCTTCTTGAATACTGATAGGAATCCCAAAATCCCTGTGGCTACAGGAAATGGTCCTTGGGTGCCCTGCCTCACCTCGAGAAGCGTCCCTTTTGCCCTGCCAAGCCTCGAAGAGATTCCTGAGGTGTCCCTCGTTACTAGACAGGAGTCCTGACGTCACTGAAGAAACTCGTTTTGAAGGGCCATCCCCGCTGTAAGTCGAGAACATACCCCACGTCCCCGCCGCAACTCGAGAAAAACCATGAGACTTCCCCCTAGAGGCGAGATGAGGCCCCATTCCCCTGCAGTGCATGCAGAGCTATTCCGTGATCCCATTCCAACAAGTCAGGAGCTTCGACTTGCTTAATGGATCTCGAGACAGTCCCCAAGAACACTGTCACCAGTCTAGACGGACCCTGAGGTCACCCCAGCAACGCAAAGCAGCTCCATGTGCCCCAAATCAACTCGAGATGAGGCCCGATTCCCCTGCATTAACTCCAGAGCCGTTCCCCGTTCCCCAATAAACACGACCGGTGGCTCGACTTCCTTCAGGCCACTCCAGAGATGCCCCGAGAACACTGTCCCAAGTCTAGAGGAACACCAACTTCAGCACAGCCACTCGAGGAATGCTCCGTGTACCTCAAATCGTCTCAAGATGAGAGCTGATTCCCTGGCTTAGGCTCAAGACGTATGCCAACTTTCCAGAAGCACCTCAGGAGGAGGCTTCTCTCAGCAATAGGTGTGTGGGAGGGACCCCGAGTTTGCTGCCTCAAGGGGAATATACCGCGAGAAGCCCTAAATTGAAAGCAGGCCGGGTTTCCTTGCAGTGGCTTGAATTCAGGCTCGTCTTTCATCTAACAACATGTAGGGAGGTCTGAATCCACTGTGGAGACCTTAGAGAAAGCCCTAGGTCCCTGCCTCATTTTGACGGAATGCCTCACATCCCCTTGACACCTCGAGAGTCACGCGGAGTTCATTGCTTCAAAAGGTGACGATGCCTGACTCCTCTTGAATACTGATAGGAATCCCAAAATCCCTGTGGCTACTGGAAAGGGTCCTTGGGTGCCCTGCTTCACCTCGAGAAGCGTCCCTTTTGCCTTGCAAAGCCTCGAAGAGATTCCTGAGGTGTCCCTCGTTACTAGACAGGAGTCCTGACGTCACTGAAGAAACTCGTGTTTTGAAGGGCCATCCCCGCGGTAAGTCGAGAACATACCCCAGGTCCCCGCCAAAACTCGAGAAAAACCATGAGACTTCCCCCTAGAGGCGAGATGAGGCCCCATTCCCCTGCAGTGCATGCAGAGCTATTCCGTGATCCCATTCAAACAAGTCAGGAGCTTCGACATGCTTAATGGATCTCGAGACAGTCCGCAAGGTCACCAGTCTAGACGGACCCTGAGGTCACCCCGCAAAACAAAGCTGCTCCATGTGCCCCAAACCAACTCGAGATGAGGCCCGATTCCTCTGCATTGACTCCAGAGCCATTCCCCGTTCCCCATTCAACATGACCGGTGGCTCGACTTCCTTCAGGCAACTCCAGAGATGCCCCGAGAACACTGTCCCAAGTCTAGAGGAACACCAACTTCAGCACAGCAACCAGAGGAATGCTGCGTGTACCCCATATCGTCTCGAGATGAGAGCTGATTCCCTGCCTTAGGCTCAAGACCTATGCCAATTTCCAGAAGCACCTCAACAGGAGGCTTCTCTCAGCAATAGGTATGTGGGAGGGACCCCGAGTTTGCTGCCTCAAGGGGAATATAGAGCGAGAAGCCCTAACTTGAAAGGAGGCCGGATTTCCTTGCAGTGGCTTGAATACAGGCTCGTCTTTCATCTCACAACATGAAGGGATGTCTGAATCCCCTGTGGAGACCTTAGAGAAAGCCCTAGGTCCCTGCTTCATTATGACGGAATGCCTCACATCCCGTTGACACCAGGACAGGCACGCAGAGTTCATTGCTTCAAAAGGTGACGATGAATGAATCCTCTTGAAAACTGATAGGAATCCCAAAATCCCTGTGGCTACTGGAAAGGGTCCTTGGGTTCCCTGCCTCACCTCGAGAAGCGTCCCTTTTGCCCTGCCAAGGCTGGAAGAGATTCCTGGGGTGTCCCTCGTTATTAGACACGAGTCCTGACGTCACTGAAGAAACTCGTGTTTTGAAGGGCCATCCCCGCCGTAAGTCGAGAACATACCCCAGGTCCCCGCCGCAACTCAAGAAAAACCATGAGACTTCCCCCTAGAGGCGAGATGAGGCCCCATTCCCCTGCAGTGCATGCAGAGCTATTCCGTGATCCCATTCAAACAAGTCAGGAGCTTCGAATTGCTTAATGGTTCTCGAGACAGTCCCCTAGAACACTGTCACAAGTCTAGACGGACCCTGAGGTCACTCCAGCAACGCAAAGCAGCTCCATGTGCCCCAAATCAACTCGAGATGAGGCCCGATTCGCCTGAATTGACTCCAGAGCCATTCCCCGTTCCCCATTCAACACGACCGGTGGCTCGACTTCCTTCAGGCAACTCCAGAGATGCCCCGAGAACACTGTCCCAAGTCTAGAGGAACACCAACTTCAGCACAGCCACTCGAGGAATGCTCCGTGTACCTCAAATCGTCTCAAGATGAGAGCTGATTCCCTGGCTTAGGCTCAAGACGTATGCCAACTTTCCAGAAGCACCTCAGGAGGAGGCTTCTCTCAGCAATAGGTGTCTGGGAGGGACCCCGAGTTTGCTTCCTCAAGGGGAATATACCGCGAGAAGCCCTAAATTGAAAGCAGGCCGGGTTTCCTTGCAGTGGCTTGAATTCAGGCTCGTCTTTCATCTAACAACATGAAGGGATGTCTGAATCCACTGTGGAGACCTTAGAGAAAGCCCTAGGTCCCTGCCTCATTTTGACGGAATGCCTCACATCCCCTTGACACCTCGAGAGGCACGCGGAGTTCATTGCTTCAAAAGGTGACGATGCCTGACTCCTCTTGAATACTGATAGGAATCCCAAAATCCCTGTGGCTACTGGAAAGGGTCCTTGGGTGCCCTGCTTCACCTCGAGAAGCGTCCCTTTTGCCTTGCAAAGCCTCGAAGAGATTCCTGAGGTGTCCCTCGTTACTAGACAGGAGTCCTGACGTCACTGAAGAAACTCGTGTTTTGAAGGACCATCCCCGCAGTAAGTCGAGAACATACCCCAGGTCCCAGCCAAAACTCGAGAAAAACCATGAGACTTCCCCCTAGAGGCGAGATGAGGCCCCTTTCCCCTGCAGTGCATGCAGAGCTATTCCGTGATCCCATTCAAACAAGTCAGGAGCTTCGACTTGCTTAATGGATCTCGAGACAGTCCGCAAGGTCACCAGTCTAGACGGACCCTGAGGTCACTCCACCAACGCAAAGCAGCTCCATGTGCCCCAAATCAATTCGAGATGAGGCCCGATTCCCCTGCATTGACTCCAGAGCCATTCCCCGTTCCACATTCAACATGACCGGTGGCTCGACTTCCTTCAGGCCACTCCAGAGATGCCCCGAGAACACTGTCCCAAGTCTAGAGGAACACCAACTTCAGCACAATCACTCGAGGAATGCTCCGTGTACTCCAAATTGTCTCGAGATTAGAGCTGATTCCCTGGCTTAGGCTCAAGACGTATGCCAACTTTCCAGAAGCACCTCAAGAGGTGGCTTCTCTCAGCAATAGGTATGTGGGAGGGACCCCGAGTTTGCTGCCGCAAGGGGAATATACAGCGAGAAGCCCTAACTTGAAAGGAGGCCGGATTTCCTTGCAGTGTCTTGAATACAGGCTCGTCTTTCATCTCACAACATGAAGGGATGTCTGAATCCCCTGTGGAGACCTTAGAGAAAGCCCTAGGTCCCTGCATCATTTTGACGGAATGCCTCACATCCCACTGACACCTCGAGAGGCACGCGGAGTTCATTGCTTCAAAAGGTGACGGTGCCTGACTCTTCTTGAATACTGATAGGAATCCCAAAATCCCTGTGGCTACAGGAAATGGTCCTTGGGTGCCCTGCCTCACCTCGAGAAGCGTCCCTTTTGCCCTGCCAAGCCTCGAAGAGATTCCTGAGGTGTCCCTCGTTACTAGACAGGAGTCCTGACGTCACTGAAGAAACTCGTTTTGAAGGGCCATCCCCGCTGTAAGTCGAGAACATACCCCACGTCCCCGCCGCAACTCGAGAAAAACCATGAGACTTCCCCCTAGAGGCGAGATGAGGCCCCATTCCCCTGCAGTGCATGCAGAGCTATTCCGTGATCCCATTCCAACAAGTCACGAGCTTCGACTTGCTTAATGGATCTCGAGACAGTCCCCAAGAACACTGTCACCAGTCTAGACGGACCCTGAGGTCACCCCAGCAACGCAAAGCAGCTCCATGTGCCCCAAATCAACTCGAGATGAGGCCCGATTCCCCTGCATTAACTCCAGAGCCGTTCCCCGTTCCCCAATAAACACGACCGGTGGCTCGACTTCCTTCAGGCCACTCCAGAGATGCCCCGAGAACACTGTCCCAAGTCTAGAGGAACACCAACTTCAGCACAGCCACTCGAGGAATGCTCCGTGTACCTCAAATCGTCTCAAGATGAGAGCTGATTCCCTGGCTTAGGCTCAAGACGTATGCCAACTTTCCAGAAGCACCTCAGGAGGAGGCTTCTCTCAGCAATAGGTGTGTGGGAGGGACCCCGAGTTTGCTGCCTCAAGGGGAATATACCGCGAGAAGCCCTAAATTGAAAGCAGGCCGGGTTTCCTTGCAGTGGCTTGAATTCAGGCTCGTCTTTCATCTAACAACATGTAGGGAGGTCTGAATCCACTGTGGAGACCTTAGAGAAAGCCCTAGGTCCCTGCCTCATTTTGACGGAATGCCTCACATCCCCTTGACACCTCGAGAGTCACGCGGAGTTCATTGCTTCAAAAGGTGACGATGCCTGACTCCTCTTGAATACTGATAGGAATCCCAAAATCCCTGTGGCTACTGGAAAGGGTCCTTGGGTGCCCTGCTTCACCTCGAGAAGCGTCCCTTTTGCCTTGCAAAGCCTCGAAGAGATTCCTGAGGTGTCCCTCGTTACTAGACAGGAGTCCTGACGTCACTGAAGAAACTCGTGTTTTGAAGGGCCATCCCCGCGGTAAGTCGAGAACATACCCCAGGTCCCCGCCAAAACTCGAGAAAAACCATGAGACTTCCCCCTAGAGGCGAGATGAGGCCCCATTCCCCTGCAGTGCATGCAGAGCTATTCCGTGATCCCATTCAAACAAGTCAGGAGCTTCGACATGCTTAATGGATCTCGAGACAGTCCGCAAGGTCACCAGTCTAGACGGACCCTGAGGTCACCCCGCAAAACAAAGCTGCTCCATGTGCCCCAAACCAACTCGAGATGAGGCCCGATTCCTCTGCATTGACTCCAGAGCCATTCCCCGTTCCCCATTCAACATGACCGGTGGCTCGACTTCCTTCAGGCAACTCCAGAGATGCCCCGAGAACACTGTCCCAAGTCTAGAGGAACACCAACTTCAGCACAGCAACCAGAGGAATGCTGCGTGTACCCCATATCGTCTCGAGATGAGAGCTGATTCCCTGCCTTAGGCTCAAGACCTATGCCAATTTCCAGAAGCACCTCAACAGGAGGCTTCTCTCAGCAATAGGTATGTGGGAGGGACCCCGAGTTTGCTGCCTCAAGGGGAATATAGAGCGAGAAGCCCTAACTTGAAAGGAGGCCGGATTTCCTTGCAGTGGCTTGAATACAGGCTCGTCTTTCATCTCACAACATGAAGGGATGTCTGAATCCCCTGTGGAGACCTTAGAGAAAGCCCTAGGTCCCTGCTTCATTATGACGGAATGCCTCACATCCCGTTGACACCAGGACAGGCACGCAGAGTTCATTGCTTCAAAAGGTGACGATGAATGAATCCTCTTGAAAACTGATAGGAATCCCAAAATCCCTGTGGCTACTGGAAAGGGTCCTTGGGTTCCCTGCCTCACCTCGAGAAGCGTCCCTTTTGCCCTGCCAAGGCTGGAAGAGATTCCTGGGGTGTCCCTCGTTATTAGACACGAGTCCTGACGTCACTGAAGAAACTCGTGTTTTGAAGGGCCATCCCCGCCGTAAGTCGAGAACATACCCCAGGTCCCCGCCGCAACTCAAGAAAAACCATGAGACTTCCCCCTAGAGGCGAGATGAGGCCCCATTCCCCTGCAGTGCATGCAGAGCTATTCCGTGATCCCATTCAAACAAGTCAGGAGCTTCGAATTGCTTAATGGTTCTCGAGACAGTCCCCTAGAACACTGTCACAAGTCTAGACGGACCCTGAGGTCACTCCAGCAACGCAAAGCAGCTCCATGTGCCCCAAATCAACTCGAGATGAGGCCCGATTCGCCTGAATTGACTCCAGAGCCATTCCCCGTTCCCCATTCAACACGACCGGTGGCTCGACTTCCTTCAGGCAACTCCAGAGATGCCCCGAGAACACTGTCCCAAGTCTAGAGGAACACCAACTTCAGCACAGCCACTCGAGGAATGCTCCGTGTACCTCAAATCGTCTCAAGATGAGAGCTGATTCCCTGGCTTAGGCTCAAGACGTATGCCAACTTTCCAGAAGCACCTCAGGAGGAGGCTTCTCTCAGCAATAGGTGTGTGGGAGGGACCCCGAGTTTGCTTCCTCAAGGGGAATATACCGCGAGAAGCCCTAAATTGAAAGCAGGCCGGGTTTCCTTGCAGTGGCTTGAATTCAGGCTCGTCTTTCATCTAACAACATGAAGGGATGTCTGAATCCACTGTGGAGACCTTAGAGAAAGCCCTAGGTCCCTGCCTCATTTTGACGGAATGCCTCACATCCCCTTGACACCTCGAGAGGCACGCGGAGTTCATTGCTTCAAAAGGTGACGATGCCTGACTCCTCTTGAATACTGATAGGAATCCCAAAATCCCTGTGGCTACTGGAAAGGGTCCTTGGGTGCCCTGCTTCACCTCGAGAAGCGTCCCTTTTGCCTTGCAAAGCCTCGAAGAGATTCCTGAGGTGTCCCTCGTTACTAGACAGGAGTCCTGACGTCACTGAAGAAACTCGTGTTTTGAAGGGCCATCCCCGCAGTAAGTCGAGAACATACCCCAGGTCCCAGCCAAAACTCGAGAAAAACCATGAGACTTCCCCCTAGAGGCGAGATGAGGCCCCTTTCCCCTGCAGTGCATGCAGAGCTATTCCGTGATCCCATTCAAACAAGTCAGGAGCTTCGACTTGCTTAATGGATCTCGAGACAGTCCGCAAGGTCACCAGTCTAGACGGACCCTGAGGTCACTCCACCAACGCAAAGCAGCTCCATGTGCCCCAAATCAATTCGAGATGAGGCCCGATTCCCCTGCATTGACTCCAGAGCCATTCCCCGTTCCACATTCAACATGACCGGTGGCTCGATTTCTTTCAGGCAACTCCAGAGATGCCCCGAGAACACTGTCCCAAGTCTAGAGGAACACCAACTTCAGCACAGCAACTCGAGGAATGCTCGGTGTACCCCAAATCATCTCGAGATGAGAGCTGATTCCCTGGCTTAGGCTCAAGACGTATGCCAACTTTCCAGAAGGACCTCAAGAGGTGGCTTCTCTCAGCAATAGGTATGTGGAGGGACCCCGAGTTTGCTGCCTCAAGGGGAATATACATCGAGAAGCCCTAACTTGAAAGGAGGCCGGATTTCCTTGCAGTGTCTTGAATACAGGCTCGTCTTTCATCTCACAACATGAAGGGATGTCTGAATCCCCTGTGGAGACCATAGAGAAAGCCTTAGGTCCCTGCCTCATTTTGACGGAATGCCTCACATCCCGCTGACACCTCGAGAGGCACACGGAGTTCACTGCTTCAAAAGGTGACGATGCCTGACTCCTCTTGAATACTGATAGGAATCCCAAAATCACTGTGGCTACTGGAAAGGGTCCTTGGGTGCCCTGCTTCACCTCGAGAAGCGTCCCTTTTGCCTTGCAAAGCCTCGAAGAGATTCCTGAGGTGTCCCTCGTTACTAGACAGGAGTCCTGACGTCACTGAATAAACACGAGTTTTGAAGGGCCATCCCCGCCGTAAGTCGAGAATATACCGCAGGTCCCCACCGCAACTCGAGAAAAACCATGAGACTTCCCCCTAGAGGCGAGGTGAGACCCCATTCCCATGCAGTGCATGCAGAGCTATTCCGTGATCCCATTCAAACAAGTCAGGAGCTTCGACTTGCTTAATGGATCTCGAGACAGTCCCCAAGAACACTGTCACAAGTCTAGACGGACCCTGAGGTCACCCCAGCAACGCAAAGCAGCTCCATGTGCCCCAAATCAACTCGAGATGAGGCCCGATTCCCCTGCATTGACTCCAGAGCCATTCCCCGTTCCCCATTCAACACGACAGGTGGCTCGACTTCCTTCAGGCAACTCCAGAGATAACCCGAGAACACTGTCCCAAGTCTAGAGGAACACCAACTTCAGCACAGCGACTCGAGGAATGCTCCGTGTACCCCAAATCGTCTCGAGATGAGAGCTGATTCCCTGGCTTAGGCTCAAGACGTATGCCAACTTTCCAGAAGCACCTCAGGAGGAGGCTTCTCTCAGCATTAGGTGTGTGGGAGGGACCCCGAGTTTGCTTCCTCAAGGGGAATATACCGCGAGAAGCCCTAAATTGAAAGCAGGCCGGGTTTCCTTGCAGTGGCGTGAATTCAGGCTCGTCTTTCATCTAACAACATGAAGGGATGTCTGAATCCACTGTGGAGACCTTAGAGAAAGCCCTAGGTCCCTGCCTCATTTTGACGGAATGCCTCACATCCCCTTGACACCTCGAGAGGCACGCGGAGTTCATTGCTTCAAAAGGTGACGATGCCTGACTCCTCTTGAATACTGATAGGAATCCCAAAATCCCTGTGGCTACTGGAAAGGGTCCTTGGGTGCCCTGCTTCACCTCGAGAAGCGTCCCTTTTGCCTTGCAAAGCCTCGAAGAGATTCCTGAGGTGTCCCTCGTTACTAGACAGGAGTCCTGACGTCACTGAAGAAACTCGTGTTTTGAAGGGCCATCCCCGCGGTAAGTCGAGAACATACCCCAGGTCCCAGCCAAAACTCGAGAAAAACCATGAGACTTCCCCCTAGAGGCGAGATGAGGCCCCTTTCCCCTGCAGTGCATGCAGAGCTATTCCGTGATCCCATTCAAACAAGTCAGGAGCTTCGACTTGCTTAATGGATCTCGAGACAGTCCGCAAGGTCACCAGTCTAGACGGACCCTGAGGTCACTCCACCAACGCAAAGCAGCTCCATGTGCCCCAAATCAATTCGAGATGAGGCCCGATTCCCCTGCATTGACTCCAGAGCCATTCCCCGTTCCACATTCAACATGACCGGTGGCTCGATTTCTTTCAGGCAACTCCAGAGATGCCCCGAGAACACTGTCCCAAGTCTAGAGGAACACCAACTTCAGCACAGCAACTCGAGGAATGCTCGGTGTACCCCAAATCATCTCGAGATGAGAGCTGATTCCCTGGCTTAGGCTCAAGACGTATGCCAACTTTCCAGAAGGACCTCAAGAGGTGGCTTCTCTCAGCAATAGGTATGTGGAGGGACCCCGAGTTTGCTGCCTCAAGGGGAATATACATCGAGAAGCCCTAACTTGAAAGGAGGCCGGATTTCCTTGCAGTGTCTTGAATACAGGCTCGTCTTTCATCTCACAACATGAAGGGATGTCTGAATCCCCTGTGGAGACCATAGAGAAAGCCTTAGGTCCCTGCCTCATTTTGACAGAATGCCTCACATCCCGCTGACACCTCGAGAGGCACACGGAGTTCACTGCTTCAAAAGGTGACGATGCCTGACTCCTCTTGAATACTGATAGGAATCCCAAAATCACTGTGGCTACTGGAAAGGGTCCTTGGGTGCCCTGCTTCACCTCGAGAAGCGTCCCTTTTGCCTTGCAAAGCCTCGAAGAGATTCCTGAGGTGTCCCTCGTTACTAGACAGGAGTCCTGACGTCACTGAATAAACACGAGTTTTGAAGGGCCATCCCCGCCGTAAGTCGAGAATATACCGCAGGTCCCCACCGCAACTCGAGAAAAACCATGAGACTTCCCCCTAGAGGCGAGGTGAGACCCCATTCCCATGCAGTGCATGCAGAGCTATTCCGTGATCCCATTCAAACAAGTCAGGAGCTTCGACTTGCTTAATGGATCTCGAGACAGTCCCCAAGAACACTGTCACAAGTCTAGACGGACCCTGAGGTCACCCCAGCAACGCAAAGCAGCTCCATGTGCCCCAAATCAACTCGAGATGAGGCCCGATTCCCCTGCATTGACTCCAGAGCCATTCCCCGTTCCCCATTCAACACGACAGGTGGCTCGACTTCCTTCAGGCAACTCCAGAGATAACCCGAGAACACTGTCCCAAGTCTAGAGGAACACCAACTTCAGCACAGCGACTCGAGGAATGCTCCGTGTACCCCAAATCGTCTCGAGATGAGAGCTGATTCCCTGGCTTAGGCTCAAGACGTATGCCAACTTTCCAGAAGCACCTCAGGAGGAGGCTTCTCTCAGCAATAGGTGTGTGGGAGGGACCCCGAGTTTGCTTCCTCAAGGGGAATATACCGCGAGAAGCCCTAAATTGAAAGCAGGCCGGGTTTCCTTGCAGTGGCGTGAATTCAGGCTCGTCTTTCATCTAACAACATGAAGGGATGTCTGAATCCACTGTGGAGACCTTAGAGAAAGCCCTAGGTCCCTGCCTCATTTTGACGGAATGCCTCACATCCCCTTGACACCTCGAGAGGCACGCGGAGTTCATTGCTTCAAAAGTTGACGATGCCTGACTCCTCTTGAATACTGATAGGAATCCCAAAATCCCTGTGGCTACTGGAAAGGGTCCTTGGGTGCCCTGCTTCACCTCGAGAAGCGTCCCTTTTGCCTTGCAAAGCCTCGAAGAGATTCCTGAGGTGTCCCTCGTTACTAGACAGGAGTCCTGACGTCACTGAAGAAACTCGTGTTTTGAAGGGCCATCCCCGCGGTAAGTCGAGAACATACCCCAGGTCCCAGCCAAAACTCGAGAAAAACCATGAGACTTCCCCCTAGAGGCGAGATGAGGCCCCTTTCCCCTGCAGTGCATGCAGAGCTATTCCGTGATCCCATTCAAACAAGTCAGGAGCTTCGACTTGCTTAATGGATCTCGAGACAGTCCGCAAGGTCACCAGTCTAGACGGACCCTGAGGTCACTCCACCAACGCAAAGCAGCTCCATGTGCCCCAAATCAATTCGAGATGAGGCCCGATTCCCCTGCATTGACTCCAGAGCCATTCCCCGTTCCACATTCAACATGACCGGTGGCTCGATTTCTTTCAGGCAACTCCAGAGATGCCCCGAGAACACTGTCCCAAGTCTAGAGGAACACCAACTTCAGCACAGCAACTCGAGGAATGCTCGGTGTACCCCAAATCATCTCGAGATGAGAGCTGATTCCCTGGCTTAGGCTCAAGACGTATGCCAACTTTCCAGAAGGACCTCAAGAGGTGGCTTCTCTCAGCAATAGGTATGTGGAGGGACCATCAGTTTGCTGCCTCAAGGGGAATATACATCGAGAAGCCCTAACTTGAAAGGAGGCCGGATTTCCTTGCAGTGTCTTGAATACAGGCTCGTCTTTCATCTCACAACATGAAGGGATGTCTGAATCCCCTGTGGAGACCATAGAGAAAGCCTTAGGTCCCTGCCTCATTTTGACGGAATGCCTCACATCCCGCTGACACCTCGAGAGGCACACGGAGTTCACTGCTTCAAAAGGTGACGATGCCTGACTCCTCTTGAATACTGATAGGAATCCCAAAATCCCTGTGGCTACTGGAAAGGGTCCTTGGGTGCCCTGCTTCACATCGAGAAGCGTCCCTTTTGCCTTGCAAAGCCTCGAAGAGATTCCTGAGGTGTCCCTCGTTACTAGACAGGAGTCCTGACGTCACTGAATAAACACGAGTTTTGAAGGGCCATCCCCGCCGTAAGTCGAGAACATACCGCAGGTCCCCACCGCAACTCGAGAAAAACCATGAGACTTCCCCCTAGAGGCGAGGTGAGACCCCATTCCCATGCAGTGCATGCAGAGCTATTCCGTGATCCCATTCAAACAAGTCAGGAGCTTCGACTTGCTTAATGGATCTCGAGACAGTCCCCAAGAACACTGTCACAAGTCTAGACGGACCCTGAGGTCACCCCAGCAACGCAAAGCAGCTCCATGTGCCCCAAATCAACTCGAGATGAGGCCCGATTTCCCTGCATTGACTCCAGAGCCATTCCCCGTTCCCCATTCAACACGACAGGTGGCTCGACTTCCTTCAGGCAACTCCAGAGATAACCCGAGAACACTGTCCCAAGTCTAGAGGAACACCAACTTCAGCACAGCGACTCGAGGAATGCTCCGTGTACCCCAAATCGTCTCGAGATGAGAGCTGATTCCCTGGCTTAGGCTCAAGACGTATGCCAACTTTCCAGAAGCACCTCAAGAGGAGGATTCTCTCAGCAATAGGTATGTGGGAGGGACACCGAGTTTGCTGCCTCAAGGGGAATATACAGTGAGAAGCCCTAAATTGAAAGCAGGCCGGATTTCCTTGCAGTGGCTTGAATACAGGCTCGTCTTTCATCTAACAACATGAAGGGATGTCTGAATCCCCTGTGGAGACCTTAGAGAAAGCCCTAGGTCCCTGCCTCATTTTGACGGAGTGCCTCACATCCCGTTGACACCTCGAGAGGCACACGGAGTTCACTGGTTCAAAAGTTGACGATGCCTGACTCCTCTTGAATACTGATAGGAATCCCCAAATCCCTGTGGCTACTGGAAAGGGTCCTTGGGTGCCCTGCTTCACCTCGAGAAGCGTCCCTTTTGCCTTGCAAAGCCTCGAAGAGATTCCTGAGGTGTCCCTCGTTACTAGACAGGAGTCGTGACGTCACTGAAGAAACTCGTGTTTTGAAGGGCCATCCCCGCGGTAAGTCGAGAACATATCCCAGGTCCCCGCCAAAACTCGAGAAAAACCATGAGACTTCCCCCTAGAGGCGAGATGAGGACCCATTCCCCTGCAGTGCATGCAGAGCTATTCCGTGATCCCATTCAAACAAGTCAGGAGCTTCGACATGCTTAATGGATCTCGAGACAGTCCGCAAGGTCACCAGTCTAGACGGACCCTGAGGTCACCACGCAACGCAAAGCAGCTCCATGTGCCCCAAACCAACTCGAGATGAGGCCCCATTCCCCTGCATTGACTCCAGAGCCATTCCCCGTTCCCCATTCAACATGACCGGTGGCTCGATTTCTTTCAGGCAACTCCAGAGATGCCCCGAGAACACTGTCCCAAGTCTAGAGGAACACCAACTTCAGCACAGCACCTTGAGGAATGCTCCGTGTATCCCAAAACGTCTCGAGATGAGAGCTGATTCCCTGGCTTAGGCTCAATACTTATGCCAACTTTCCAGAAGCACCTCAAGAGGTGGCTTCTCTCAGCAATAGGTATGTGGGAGGGACCCCGATTTTGCTGCCTCAAGGGGAATATACAGCGAGAAGCCCTAACTTGAAAGGAGGCCGGATTTCCTTGCAGTGTCTTGAATACAGGCTCGTCTTTCATCTCACAACATGAAGGGATGTCTGAATCCCCTGTGGAGACCTTAGAGAAAGCCCTAGGTCCCTGCCTCATTTTGACGGAATGCCTCACATCCCACTGACACCTCGAGAGGCACGCGGAGTTCATTGCTTCAAAAGGTGACGGTGCCTGACTCTTCTTGAATACTGATAGGAATCCCAAAATCCCTGTGGCTACTGGAAAGGGTCCTTGGGTGCCCTGCCTCACCTCGAGAAGCGTCCCTTTTGCCCTGCCAAGCCTCGAAGAGATTCCTGAGTTGTCCCTCGTTACTAGACAGGAGTCCTGACGTCACTGAAGAAACTCGTGTTTTGAAGGGCCATCCCCGCCGTAAGTCGAGAACATACCCCAGGTCCCCGCCGCAACTTGAGAAAAACCATGAGACTTCCCCCTAGAGGCGAGATGAGGCCCCATTCCCCTGCAGTGCATGCAGAGCTATTCCGTGATCCCATTCCAACAAGTCAGGAGCTTCGACTTGCTTAATGGATCTCGAGACAGTCCCCAAGAACACTGTCACCAGTCTAGACGGACGCTGAGGTCACCCCAGCAACGCAAAGCAGCTCCATGTGCCCCAAATCAACTCGAGATGAGGCCCGATTCCCCTGCATTAACGCCAGAGCCGTTCCCCGTTCCCCATTAAACACGACCGGTGGCTCGACTTCCTTCAGGCCACTCCAGAGATGCCCCGAGAACACTGTCCCAAGTCTAGAGGAACACCAACTTCAGCACAGCCACTCGAGGAATGCTCCGTGTACCTCAAATCGTCTCAAGATGAGAGCTGATTCCCTGGCTTAGGCTCAAGACGTATGCCAACTTTCCAGAAGCACCTCAGGAGGAGGCTTCTCTCAGCAATAGGTGTGTGGGAGGGACCCCGAGTTTGCTGCCTCAAGGGGAATATACCGCGAGAAGCCCTAAATTGAAAGCAGGCCGGGTTTCCTTGCAGTGGCTTGAATTCAGGCTCGTCTTTCATCTAACAACATGAAGGGATGTCTGAATCCACTGTGGAGACCTTAGAGAAAGCCCTAGGTCCCTGCCTCATTTTGACGGAATGCCTCACATCCCCTTGACACCTCGAGAGGCACGCGGAGTTCATTGCTTCAAAAGGTGACGATGCCTGACTCCTCTTGAATACTGATAGGAATCCCAAAATCCCTGTGGCTACTGGAAAGGTTCCTTGGGTGCCCTGCTTCACCTCGAGAAGCGTCCCTTTTGCCTTGCAAAGCCTCGAAGAGATTCCTGAGGTGTCCCTCGTTACAAGTCAGGAGTCCTGACGTCACTGAAGAAACTCGTGTTTTGAAGGGCCATCCCCGCGGTAAGTCGAGAACATACCCCAGGTCCCCGCCAAAACTCGAGAAAAACCATGAGACTTCCCCCTAGAGGCGAGATGAGGCCCCATTCCCCTGCAGTGCATGCAGAGCTATTCCGTGATCCCATTCAAACAAGTCAGGAGCTTCGACTTGCTTAATGGATCTCGAGACAGTCCGCAAGGTCACCAGTCTAGACGGACCCTGAGGTCACTCCACCAACGCAAAGCAGCTCCATGTGCCCCAAATCAATTCGAGATGAGGCCCGATTCCCCTGCATTGACTCCAGAGCCATTCCCCGTTCCACATTCAACATGACCGGTGGCTCGATTTCTTTCAGGCAACTCCAGAGATGCCCCGAGAACACTGTCCCAAGTCTAGAGGAACACCAACTTCAGCACAGCAACTCGAGGAATGCTCGGTGTACCCCAAATCATCTCGAGATGAGAGCTGATTCCCTGGCTTAGGCTCAAGACGTATGCCAACTTTCCAGAAGGACCTCAAGAGGTGGCTTCTCTCAGCAATAGGTATGTGGAGGGACCCCGAGTTTGCTGCCTCAAGGGGAATATACATCGAGAAGCCCTAACTTGAAAGGAGGCCGGATTTCCTTGCAGTGTCTTGAATACAGGCTCGTCTTTCATCTCACAACATGAAGGGATGTCTGAATCCCCTGTGGAGACCATAGAGAAAGCCTTAGGTCCCTGCCTCATTTTGACGGAATGCCTCACATCCCGCTGACACTTGGACAGGCACACGGAGTTCATTGCTTCAAAAGGTGACGATGCCTGACTCCTCTTGAATACTGATAGGAATCCCAAAATCCCTGTGGCTACTGGAAAGGGTCCTTGGGTGCCCTGCCTCACCTCGAGAAGCGTCCCTTTTGCCCTGCCAAGACTCGAAGAGATTCCTGAGGTGTCCCTCGTTACTAGACAGGAGTCCTGACGTCACTGAATAAACACGAGTTTTGAAGGGCCATCCCCGCCGTAAGTCGAGAACATACCGCAGGTCCCCACCGCAACTCGAGAAAAACCATGAGACTTCCCCCTAGAGGCGAGGTGAGACCCCATTTACATGCAGTGCATGCAGAGCTATTCCGTGATCCCATTCAAACAAGTCAGGAGCTTCGACTTGCTTAATGGATCTCGAGACAGTCCCCAAGAACACTGTCACAAGTCTAGACGGACCCTGAGGTCACCCCAGCAACGCAAAGCAGCTCCATGTGCCCCAAATCAACTCGAGATGAGGCCCCATTCCCCTGCATTGACTCCAGAGCCATTCCCCGTTCCCCATTCAACACGACAGGTGGCTCGACTTCCTTCAGGCAACTCCAGAGATAACCCGAGAACACTGTCCCAAGTCTAGAGGAACACCACCTTCAGCACAGCGACTCGAGGAATGCTCCGTGTACCCCAAATCGTCTCGAGATGAGAGCTGATTCCCTGGCTTAGGCTCAAGACGTATGCCAACTTTCCAGAAGCACCTCAAGAGGAGGATTCTCTCAGCAATAGGTATGTGGGAGGGACACCGAGTTTGCTGCCTCAAGGGGAATATACAGTGAGAAGCCCTAAATTGAAAGCAGGCCGGATTTCCTTGCAGTGGCTTGAATACAGGCTCGTCTTTCATCTAACAACATGAAGGGATGTCTGAATCCCCTGTGGAGACCTTAGAGAAAGCCCTAGGTCCCTGCCTCATTTTGACGGAGTGCCTCACATCCCGTTGACACCTCGAGAGGCACACGGAGTTCACTGGTTCAAAAGTTGACGATGCCTGACTCCTCTTGAATACTGATAGGAATCCCAAAATCCCTGTGGCTACTGGAAAGGGTCCTTGGGTGCCCTGCTTCACCTCGAGAAGCGTCCCTTTTGCCTTGCAAAGCCTCGAAGAGATTCCTGAGGTGTCCCTCGTTACTAGACAGGAGTCGTGACGTCACTGAAGAAACTCGTGTTTTGAAGGGCCATCCCCGCGGTAAGTCAAGAACATATCCCAGGTCCCCGCCAAAACTCGAGAAAAACCATGAGACTTCCCCCTAGAGGCGAGATGAGGACCCATTCCCCTGCAGTGCATGCAGAGCTATTCCGTGATCCCATTCAAACAAGTCAGGAGCTTCGACATGCTTAATGGATCTCGAGACAGTCCGCAAGGTCACCAGTCTAGACGGACCCTGAGGTCACCACGCAACGCAAAGCAGCTCCATGTGCCCCAAACCAACTCGAGATGAGGCCCCATTCCCCTGCATTGACTCCAGAGCCATTCCCCGTTCCCCATTCAACATGACCGGTGGCTCGATTTCTTTCAGGCAACTCCAGAGATGCCCCGAGAACACTGTCCCAAGTCTAGAGGAACACCAACTTCAGCACAGCACCTTGAGGAATGCTCCGTGTATCCCAAATCATCTCGAGATGAGAGCTGATTCCCTGGCTTAGGCTCAAGACGTATGCCAACTTTCCAGAAGGACCTCAAGAGGTGGCTTCTCTCAGCAATAGGTATGTGGAGGGACCCCGAGTTTGCTGCATCAAGGGGAATATACATCGAGAAGCCCTAACTTGAAAGGAGGCCGGATTTCCTTGCAGTGTCTTGAATACAGGCTCGTCTTTCATCTCACAACATGAAGGGATGTCTGAATCCCCTGTGGAGACCATAGAGAAAGCCTTAGGTCCCTGCCTCATTTTGACGGAATGCCTCACATCCCGCTGACACCTCGAGAGGCACACGGAGTTCACTGCTTCAAAAGGTGACGATGCCTGACTCCTCTTGAATACTGATAGGAATCCCAAAATCACTGTGGCTACTGGAAAGGGTCCTTGGGTGCCCTGCTTCACCTCGAGAAGCGTCCCTTTTGCCTTGCAAAGCCTCGAAGAGATTCCTGAGGTGTCCCTCGTTACTAGACAGGAGTCCTGACGTCACTGAATAAACACGAGTTTTGAAGGGCCATCCCCGCCGTAAGTCGAGAATATACCGCAGGTCCCCACCGCAACTCGAGAAAAACCATGAGACTTCCCCCTAGAGGCGAGGTGAGACCCCATTCCCATGCAGTGCATGCAGAGCTATTCCGTGATCCCATTCAAACAAGTCAGGAGCTTCGACTTGCTTAATGGATCTCGAGACAGTCCCCAAGAACACTGTCACAAGTCTAGACGGACCCTGAGGTCACCCCAGCAACGCAAAGCAGCTCCATGTGCCCCAAATCAACTCGAGATGAGGCCCGATTCCCCTGCATTGACTCCAGAGCCATTCCCCGTTCCCCATTCAACACGACAGGTGGCTCGACTTCCTTCAGGCAACTCCAGAGATAACCCGAGAACACTGTCCCAAGTCTAGAGGAACACCAACTTCAGCACAGCGACTCGAGGAATGCTCCGTGTACCCCAAATCGTCTCGAGATGAGAGCTGATTCCCTGGCTTAGGCTCAAGACGTATGCCAACTTTCCAGAAGCACCTCAGGAGGAGGCTTCTCTCAGCAATAGGTGTGTGGGAGGGACCCCGAGTTTGCTTCCTCAAGGGGAATATACCGCGAGAAGCCCTAAATTGAAAGCAGGCCGGGTTTCCTTGCAGTGGCGTGAATTCAGGCTCGTCTTTCATCTAACAACATGAAGGGATGTCTGAATCCACTGTGGAGACCTTAGAGAAAGCCCTAGGTCCCTGCCTCATTTTGACGGAATGCCTCACATCCCCTTGACACCTCGAGAGGCACGCGGAGTTCATTGCTTCAAAAGGTGACGATGCCTGACTCCTCTTGAATAGTGATAGGAATCCCAAAATCCCTGTGGCTACTGGAAAGGGTCCTTGGGTGCCCTGCTTCACCTCGAGAAGCGTCCCTTTTGCCTTGCAAAGCCTCGAAGAGATTCCTGAGGTGTCCCTCGTTACTAGACAGGAGTCCTGACGTCACTGAAGAAACTCGTGTTTTGAAGGGCCATCCCCGCGGTAAGTCGAGAACATACCCCAGGTCCCAGCCAAAACTCGAGAAAAACCATGAGACTTCCCCCTAGAGGCGAGATGAGGCCCCTTTCCCCTGCAGTGCATGCAGAGCTATTCCGTGATCCCATTCAAACAAGTCAGGAGCTTCGACTTGCTTAATGGATCTCGAGACAGTCCGCAAGGTCACCAGTCTAGACGGACCCTGAGGTCACTCCACCAACGCAAAGCAGCTCCATGTGCCCCAAATCAATTCGAGATGAGGCCCGATTCCCCTGCATTGACTCCAGAGCCATTCCCCGTTCCACATTCAACATGACCGGTGGCTCGATTTCTTTCAGGCAACTCCAGAGATGCCCCGAGAACACTGTCCCAAGTCTAGAGGAACACCAACTTCAGCACAGCAACTCGAGGAATGCTCGGTGTACCCCAAATCATCTCGAGATGAGAGCTGATTCCCTGGCTTAGGCTCAAGACGTATGCCAACTTTCCAGAAGGACCTCAAGAGGTGGCTTCTCTCAGCAATAGGTATGTGGAGGGACCCCGAGTTTGCTGCCTCAAGGGGAATATACATCGAGAAGCCCTAACTTGAAAGGAGGCCGGATTTCCTTGCAGTGTCTTGAATACAGGCTCGTCTTTCATCTCACAACATGAAGGGATGTCTGAATCCCCTGTGGAGACCATAGAGAAAGCCTTAGGTCCCTGCCTCATTTTGACGGAATGCCTCACATCCCGCTGACACCTCGAGAGGCACACGGAGTTCACTGCTTCAAAAGGTGACGATGCCTGACTCCTCTTGAATACTGATAGGAATCCCAAAATCCCTGTGGCTACTGGAAAGGGTCCTTGGGTGCCCTGCTTCACATCGAGAAGCGTCCCTTTTGCCTTGCAAAGCCTCGAAGAGATTCCTGAGGTGTCCCTCGTTACTAGACAGGAGTCCTGACGTCACTGAATAAACACGAGTTTTGAAGGGCCATCCCCGCCGTAAGTCGAGAACATACCGCAGGTCCCCACCGCAACTCGAGAAAAACCATGAGACTTCCCCCTAGAGGCGAGGTGAGACCCCATTCCCATGCAGTGCATGCAGAGCTATTCCGTGATCCCATTCAAACAAGTCAGGAGCTTCGACTTGCTTAATGGATCTCGAGACAGTCCCCAAGAACACTGTCACAAGTCTAGACGGACCCTGAGGTCACCCCAGCAACGCAAAGCAGCTCCATGTGCCCCAAATCAACTCGAGATGAGGCCCGATTTCCCTGCATTGACTCCAGAGCCATTCCCCGTTCCCCATTCAACACGACAGGTGGCTCGACTTCCTTCAGGCAACTCCAGAGATAACCCGAGAACACTGTCCCAAGTCTAGAGGAACACCAACTTCAGCACAGCGACTCGAGGAATGCTCCGTGTACCCCAAATCGTCTCGAGATGAGAGCTGATTCCCTGGCTTAGGCTCAAGACGTATGCCAACTTTCCAGAAGCACCTCAAGAGGAGGATTCTCTCAGCAATAGGTATGTGGGAGGGACACCGAGTTTGCTGCCTCAAGGGGAATATACAGTGAGAAGCCCTAAATTGAAAGCAGGCCGGATTTCCTTGCAGTGGCTTGAATACAGGCTCGTCTTTCATCTAACAACATGAAGGGATGTCTGAATCCCCTGTGGAGACCTTAGAGAAAGCCCTAGGTCCCTGCCTCATTTTGACGGAGTGCCTCACATCCCGTTGACACCTCGAGAGGCACACGGAGTTCACTGGTTCAAAAGTTGACGATGCCTGACTCCTCTTGAATACTGATAGGAATCCCAAAATCCCTGTGGCTACTGGAAAGGGTCCTTGGGTGCCCTGCTTCACCTCGAGAAGCGTCCCTTTTGCCTTGCAAAGCCTCGAAGAGATTCCTGAGGTGTCCCTCGTTACTAGACAGGAGTCGTGACGTCACTGAAGAAACTCGTGTTTTGAAGGGCCATCCCCGCGGTAAGTCGAGAACATATCCCAGGTCCCCGCCAAAACTCGAGAAAAACCATGAGACTTCCCCCTAGAGGCGAGATGAGGACCCATTCCCCTGCAGTGCATGCAGAGCTATTCCGTGATCCCATTCAAACAAGTCAGGAGCTTCGACATGCTTAATGGATCTCGAGACAGTCCGCAAGGTCACCAGTCTAGACGGACCCTGAGGTCACCACGCAACGCAAAGCAGCTCCATGTGCCCCAAACCAACTCGAGATGAGGCCCCATTCCCCTGCATTGACTCCAGAGCCATTCCCCGTTCCCCATTCAACATGACCGGTGGCTCGATTTCTTTCAGGCAACTCCAGAGATGCCCCGAGAACACTGTCCCAAGTCTAGAGGAACACCAACTTCAGCACAGCACCTTGAGGAATGCTCCGTGTATCCCAAAACGTCTCGAGATGAGAGCTGATTCCCTGGCTTAGGCTCAATACTTATGCCAACTTTCCAGAAGCACCTCAAGAGGTGGCTTCTCTCAGCAATAGGTATGTGGGAGGGACCCCGATTTTGCTGCCTCAAGGGGAATATACAGCGAGAAGCCCTAACTTGAAAGGAGGCCGGATTTCCTTGCAGTGTCTTGAATACAGGCTCGTCTTTCATCTCACAACATGAAGGGATGTCTGAATCCCCTGTGGAGACCTTAGAGAAAGCCCTAGGTCCCTGCGTCATTTTGACGGAATGCCTCACATCCCACTGACACCTCGAGAGGCACGCGGAGTTCATTGCTTCAAAAGGTGACGGTGCCTGACTCTTCTTGAATACTGATAGGAATCCCAAAATCCCTGTGGCTACTGGAAAGGGTCCTTGGGTGCCCTGCCTCACCTCGAGAAGCGTCCCTTTTGCCCTGCCAAGCCTCGAAGAGATTCCTGAGTTGTCCCTCGTTACTAGACAGGAGTCCTGACGTCACTGAAGAAACTCGTGTTTTGAAGGGCCATCCCCGCCGTAAGTCGAGAACATACCCCAGGTCCCCGCCGCAACTTGAGAAAAACCATGAGACTTCCCCCTAGAGGCGAGATGAGGCCCCATTCCCCTGCAGTGCATGCAGAGCTATTCCGTGATCCCATTCCAACAAGTCAGGAGCTTCGACTTGCTTAATGGATCTCGAGACAGTCCCCAAGAACACTGTCACCAGTCTAGACGGACGCTGAGGTCACCCCAGCAACGCAAAGCAGCTCCATGTGCCCCAAATCAACTCGAGATGAGGCCCGATTCCCCTGCATTAACGCCAGAGCCGTTCCCCGTTCCCCATTAAACACGACCGGTGGCTCGACTTCCTTCAGGCCACTCCAGAGATGCCCCGAGAACACTGTCCCAAGTCTAGAGGAACACCAACTTCAGCACAGCCACTCGAGGAATGCTCCGTGTACCTCAAATCGTCTCAAGATGAGAGCTGATTCCCTGGCTTAGGCTCAAGACGTATGCCAACTTTCCAGAAGCACCTCAGGAGGAGGCTTCTCTCAGCAATAGGTGTGTGGGAGGGACCCCGAGTTTGCTGCCTCAAGGGGAATATACCGCGAGAAGCCCTAAATTGAAAGCAGGCCGGGTTTCCTTGCAGTGGCTTGAATTCAGGCTCGTCTTTCATCTAACAACATGAAGGGATGTCTGAATCCACTGTGGAGACCTTAGAGAAAGCCCTAGGTCCCTGCCTCATTTTGACGGAATGCCTCACATCCCCTTGACACCTCGAGAGGCACGCGGAGTTCATTGCTTCAAAAGGTGACGATGCCTGACTCCTCTTGAATACTGATAGGAATCCCAAAATCCCTGTGGCTACTGGAAAGGTTCCTTGGGTGCCCTGCTTCACCTCGAGAAGCGTCCCTTTTGCCTTGCAAAGCCTCGAAGAGATTCCTGAGGTGTCCCTCGTTACAAGTCAGGAGTCCTGACGTCACTGAAGAAACTCGTGTTTTGAAGGGCCATCCCCGCGGTAAGTCGAGAACATACCCCAGGTCCCCGCCAAAACTCGAGAAAAACCATGAGACTTCCCCCTAGAGGCGAGATGAGGCCCCATTCCCCTGCAGTGCATGCAGAGCTATTCCGTGATCCCATTCAAACAAGTCAGGAGCTTCGACTTGCTTAATGGATCTCGAGACAGTCCGCAAGGTCACCAGTCTAGACGGACCCTGAGGTCACTCCACCAACGCAAAGCAGCTCCATGTGCCCCAAATCAATTCGAGATGAGGCCCGATTCCCCTGCATTGACTCCAGAGCCATTCCCCGTTCCACATTCAACATGACCGGTGGCTCGATTTCTTTCAGGCAACTCCAGAGATGCCCCGAGAACACTGTCCCAAGTCTAGAGGAACACCAACTTCAGCACAGCAACTCGAGGAATGCTCGGTGTACCCCAAATCATCTCGAGATGAGAGCTGATTCCCTGGCTTAGGCTCAAGACGTATGCCAACTTTCCAGAAGGACCTCAAGAGGTGGCTTCTCTCAGCAATAGGTATGTGGAGGGACCCCGAGTTTGCTGCCTCAAGGGGAATATACATCGAGAAGCCCTAACTTGAAAGGAGGCCGGATTTCCTTGCAGTGTCTTGAATACAGGCTCGTCTTTCATCTCACAACATGAAGGGATGTCTGAATCCCCTGTGGAGACCATAGAGAAAGCCTTAGGTCCCTGCCTCATTTTGACGGAATGCCTCACATCCCGCTGACACTTGGACAGGCACACGGAGTTCATTGCTTCAAAAGGTGACGATGCCTGACTCCTCTTGAATACTGATAGGAATCCCAAAATCCCTGTGGCTACTGGAAAGGGTCCTTGGGTGCCCTGCCTCACCTCGAGAAGCGTCCCTTTTGCCCTGCCAAGACTCGAAGAGATTCCTGAGGTGTCCCTCGTTACTAGACAGGAGTCCTGACGTCACTGAATAAACACGAGTTTTGAAGGGCCATCCCCGCCGTAAGTCGAGAACATACCGCAGGTCCCCACCGCAACTCGAGAAAAACCATGAGACTTCCCCCTAGAGGCGAGGTGAGACCCCATTTACATGCAGTGCATGCAGAGCTATTCCGTGATCCCATTCAAACAAGTCAGGAGCTTCGACTTGCTTAATGGATCTCGAGACAGTCCCCAAGAACACTGTCACAAGTCTAGACGGACCCTGAGGTCACCCCAGCAACGCAAAGCAGCTCCATGTGCCCCAAATCAACTCGAGATGAGGCCCCATTCCCCTGCATTGACTCCAGAGCCATTCCCCGTTCCCCATTCAACACGACAGGTGGCTCGACTTCCTTCAGGCAACTCCAGAGATAACCCGAGAACACTGTCCCAAGTCTAGAGGAACACCACCTTCAGCACAGCGACTCGAGGAATGCTCCGTGTACCCCAAATCGTCTCGAGATGAGAGCTGATTCCCTGGCTTAGGCTCAAGACGTATGCCAACTTTCCAGAAGCACCTCAAGAGGAGGATTCTCTCAGCAATAGGTATGTGGGAGGGACACCGAGTTTGCTGCCTCAAGGGGAATATACAGTGAGAAGCCCTAAATTGAAAGCAGGCCGGATTTCCTTGCAGTGGCTTGAATACAGGCTCGTCTTTCATCTAACAACATGAAGGGATGTCTGAATCCCCTGTGGAGACCTTAGAGAAAGCCCTAGGTCCCTGCCTCATTTTGACGGAGTGCCTCACATCCCGTTGACACCTCGAGAGGCACACGGAGTTCACTGGTTCAAAAGTTGACGATGCCTGACTCCTCTTGAATACTGATAGGAATCCCAAAATCCCTGTGGCTACTGGAAAGGGTCCTTGGGTGCCCTGCTTCACCTCGAGAAGCGTCCCTTTTGCCTTGCAAAGCCTCGAAGAGATTCCTGAGGTGTCCCTCGTTACTAGACAGGAGTCGTGACGTCACTGAAGAAACTCGTGTTTTGAAGGGCCATCCCCGCGGTAAGTCAAGAACATATCCCAGGTCCCCGCCAAAACTCGAGAAAAACCATGAGACTTCCCCCTAGAGGCGAGATGAGGACCCATTCCCCTGCAGTGCATGCAGAGCTATTCCGTGATCCCATTCAAACAAGTCAGGAGCTTCGACATGCTTAATGGATCTCGAGACAGTCCGCAAGGTCACCAGTCTAGACGGACCCTGAGGTCACCACGCAACGCAAAGCAGCTCCATGTGCCCCAAACCAACTCGAGATGAGGCCCCATTCCCCTGCATTGACTCCAGAGCCATTCCCCGTTCCCCATTCAACATGACCGGTGGCTCGATTTCTTTCAGGCAACTCCAGAGATGCCCCGAGAACACTGTCCCAAGTCTAGAGGAACACCAACTTCAGCACAGCACCTTGAGGAATGCTCCGTGTATCCCAAATCATCTCGAGATGAGAGCTGATTCCCTGGCTTAGGCTCAAGACGTATGCCAACTTTCCAGAAGGACCTCAAGAGGTGGCTTCTCTCAGCAATAGGTATGTGGAGGGACCCCGAGTTTGCTGCATCAAGGGGAATATACATCGAGAAGCCCTAACTTGAAAGGAGGCCGGATTTCCTTGCAGTGTCTTGAATACAGGCTCGTCTTTCATCTCACAACATGAAGGGATGTCTGAATCCCCTGTGGAGACCATAGAGAAAGCCTTAGGTCCCTGCCTCATTTTGACGGAATGCCTCACATCCCGCTGACACCTCGAGAGGCACACGGAGTTCACTGCTTCAAAAGGTGACGATGCCTGACTCCTCTTGAATACTGATAGGAATCCCAAAATCACTGTGGCTACTGGAAAGGGTCCTTGGGTGCCCTGCTTCACCTCGAGAAGCGTCCCTTTTGCCTTGCAAAGCCTCGAAGAGATTCCTGAGGTGTCCCTCGTTACTAGACAGGAGTCCTGACGTCACTGAATAAACACGAGTTTTGAAGGGCCATCCCCGCCGTAAGTCGAGAATATACCGCAGGTCCCCACCGCAACTCGAGAAAAACCATGAGACTTCCCCCTAGAGGCGAGGTGAGACCCCATTCCCATGCAGTGCATGCAGAGCTATTCCGTGATCCCATTCAAACAAGTCAGGAGCTTCGACTTGCTTAATGGATCTCGAGACAGTCCCCAAGAACACTGTCACAAGTCTAGACGGACCCTGAGGTCACCCCAGCAACGCAAAGCAGCTCCATGTGCCCCAAATCAACTCGAGATGAGGCCCGATTCCCCTGCATTGACTCCAGAGCCATTCCCCGTTCCCCATTCAACACGACAGGTGGCTCGACTTCCTTCAGGCAACTCCAGAGATAACCCGAGAACACTGTCCCAAGTCTAGAGGAACACCAACTTCAGCACAGCGACTCGAGGAATGCTCCGTGTACCCCAAATCGTCTCGAGATGAGAGCTGATTCCCTGGCTTAGGCTCAAGACGTATGCCAACTTTCCAGAAGCACCTCAGGAGGAGGCTTCTCTCAGCAATAGGTGTGTGGGAGGGACCCCGAGTTTGCTTCCTCAAGGGGAATATACCGCGAGAAGCCCTAAATTGAAAGCAGGCCGGGTTTCCTTGCAGTGGCGTGAATTCAGGCTCGTCTTTCATCTAACAACATGAAGGGATGTCTGAATCCACTGTGGAGACCTTAGAGAAAGCCCTAGGTCCCTGCCTCATTTTGACGGAATGCCTCACATCCCCTTGACACCTCGAGAGGCACGCGGAGTTCATTGCTTCAAAAGGTGACGATGCCTGACTCCTCTTGAATAGTGATAGGAATCCCAAAATCCCTGTGGCTACTGGAAAGGGTCCTTGGGTGCCCTGCTTCACCTCGAGAAGCGTCCCTTTTGCCTTGCAAAGCCTCGAAGAGATTCCTGAGGTGTCCCTCGTTACTAGACAGGAGTCCTGACGTCACTGAAGAAACTCGTGTTTTGAAGGGCCATCCCCGCGGTAAGTCGAGAACATACCCCAGGTCCCAGCCAAAACTCGAGAAAAACCATGAGACTTCCCCCTAGAGGCGAGATGAGGCCCCTTTCCCCTGCAGTGCATGCAGAGCTATTCCGTGATCCCATTCAAACAAGTCAGGAGCTTCGACTTGCTTAATGGATCTCGAGACAGTCCGCAAGGTCACCAGTCTAGACGGACCCTGAGGTCACTCCACCAACGCAAAGCAGCTCCATGTGCCCCAAATCAATTCGAGATGAGGCCCGATTCCCCTGCATTGACTCCAGAGCCATTCCCCGTTCCACATTCAACATGACCGGTGGCTCGATTTCTTTCAGGCAACTCCAGAGATGCCCCGAGAACACTGTCCCAAGTCTAGAGGAACACCAACTTCAGCACAGCAACTCGAGGAATGCTCGGTGTACCCCAAATCATCTCGAGATGAGAGCTGATTCCCTGGCTTAGGCTCAAGACGTATGCCAACTTTCCAGAAGGACCTCAAGAGGTGGCTTCTCTCAGCAATAGGTATGTGGAGGGACCCCGAGTTTGCTGCCTCAAGGGGAATATACATCGAGAAGCCCTAACTTGAAAGGAGGCCGGATTTCCTTGCAGTGTCTTGAATACAGGCTCGTCTTTCATCTCACAACATGAAGGGATGTCTGAATCCCCTGTGGAGACCATAGAGAAAGCCTTAGGTCCCTGCCTCATTTTGACGGAATGCCTCACATCCCGCTGACACCTCGAGAGGCACACGGAGTTCACTGCTTCAAAAGGTGACGATGCCTGACTCCTCTTGAATACTGATAGGAATCCCAAAATCACTGTGGCTACTGGAAAGGGTCCTTGGGTGCCCTGCTTCACCTCGAGAAGCGTCCCTTTTGCCTTGCAAAGCCTCGAAGAGATTCCTGAGGTGTCCCTCGTTACTAGACAGGAGTCCTGACGTCACTGAATAAACACGAGTTTTGAAGGGCCATCCCCGCCGTAAGTCGAGAATATACCGCAGGTCCCCACCGCAACTCGAGAAAAACCATGAGACTTCCCCCTAGAGGCGAGGTGAGACCCCATTCCCATGCAGTGCATGCAGAGCTATTCCGTGATCCCATTCAAACAAGTCAGGAGCTTCGACTTGCTTAATGGATCTCGAGACAGTCCCCAAGAACACTGTCACAAGTCTAGACGGACCCTGAGGTCACCCCAGCAACGCAAAGCAGCTCCATGTGCCCCAAATCAACTCGAGATGAGGCCCGATTCCCCTGCATTGACTCAAGAGCCATTCCCCGTTCCCCATTCAACACGACAGGTGGCTCGACTTCCTTCAGGCAACTCCAGAGATAACCCGAGAACACTGTCCCAAGTCTAGAGGAACACCAACTTCAGCACAGCGACTCGAGGAATGCTCCGTGTACCCCAAATCGTCTCGAGATGAGAGCTGATTCCCTGGCTTAGGCTCAAGACGTATGCCAACTTTCCAGAAGCACCTCAGGAGGAGGCTTCTCTCAGCAATAGGTGTGTGGGAGGGACCCCGAGTTTGCTTCCTCAAGGGGAATATACCGCGAGAAGCCCTAAATTGAAAGCAGGCCGGGTTTCCTTGCAGTGGCGTGAATTCAGGCTCGTCTTTCATCTAACAACATGAAGGGATGTCTGAATCCACTGTGGAGACCTTAGAGAAAGCCCTAGGTCCCTGCCTCATTTTGACGGAATGCCTCACATCCCCTTGACACCTCGAGAGGCACGCGGAGTTCATTGCTTCAAAAGTTGACGATGCCTGACTCCTCTTGAATACTGATAGGAATCCCAAAATCCCTGTGGCTACTGGAAAGGGTCCTTGGGTGCCCTGCTTCACCTCGAGAAGCGTCCCTTTTGCCTTGCAAAGCCTCGAAGAGATTCCTGAGGTGTCCCTCGTTACTAGACAGGAGTCCTGACGTCACTGAAGAAACTCGTGTTTTGAAGGGCCATCCCCGCGGTAAGTCGAGAACATACCCCAGGTCCCAGCCAAAACTCGAGAAAAACCATGAGACTTCCCCCTAGAGGCGAGATGAGGCCCCTTTCCCCTGCAGTGCATGCAGAGCTATTCCGTGATCCCATTCAAACAAGTCAGGAGCTTCGACTTGCTTAATGGATCTCGAGACAGTCCGCAAGGTCACCAGTCTAGACGGACCCTGAGGTCACTCCACCAACGCAAAGCAGCTCCATGTGCCCCAAATCAATTCGAGATGAGGCCCGATTCCCCTGCATTGACTCCAGAGCCATTCCCCGTTCCACATTCAACATGACCGGTGGCTCGATTTCTTTCAGGCAACTCCAGAGATGCCCCGAGAACACTGTCCCAAGTCTAGAGGAACACCAACTTCAGCACAGCAACTCGAGGAATGCTCGGTGTACCCCAAATCATCTCGAGATGAGAGCTGATTCCCTGGCTTAGGCTCAAGACGTATGCCAACTTTCCAGAAGGACCTCAAGAGGTGGCTTCTCTCAGCAATAGGTATGTGGAGGGACCATCAGTTTGCTGCCTCAAGGGGAATATACATCGAGAAGCCCTAACTTGAAAGGAGGCCGGATTTCCTTGCAGTGTCTTGAATACAGGCTCGTCTTTCATCTCACAACATGAAGGGATGTCTGAATCCCCTGTGGAGACCATAGAGAAAGCCTTAGGTCCCTGCCTCATTTTGACGGAATGCCTCACATCCCGCTGACACCTCGAGAGGCACACGGAGTTCACTGCTTCAAAAGGTGACGATGCCTGACTCCTCTTGAATACTGATAGGAATCCCAAAATCCCTGTGGCTACTGGAAAGGGTCCTTGGGTGCCCTGCTTCACATCGAGAAGCGTCCCTTTTGCCTTGCAAAGCCTCGAAGAGATTCCTGAGGTGTCCCTCGTTACTAGACAGGAGTCCTGACGTCACTGAATAAACACGAGTTTTGAAGGGCCATCCCCGCCGTAAGTCGAGAACATACCGCAGGTCCCCACCGCAACTCGAGAAAAACCATGAGACTTCCCCCTAGAGGCGAGGTGAGACCCCATTCCCATGCAGTGCATGCAGAGCTATTCCGTGATCCCATTCAAACAAGTCAGGAGCTTCGACTTGCTTAATGGATCTCGAGACAGTCCCCAAGAACACTGTCACAAGTCTAGACGGACCCTGAGGTCACCCCAGCAACGCAAAGCAGCTCCATGTGCCCCAAATCAACTCGAGATGAGGCCCGATTCCCCTGCATTGACTCCAGAGCCATTCCCCGTTCCCCATTCAACACGACAGGTGGCTCGACTTCCTTCAGGCAACTCCAGAGATAACCCGAGAACACTGTCCCAAGTCTAGAGGAACACCAACTTCAGCACAGCGACTCGAGGAATGCTCCGTGTACCCCAAATCGTCTCGAGATGAGAGCTGATTCCCTGGCTTAGGCTCAAGACGTATGCCAACTTTCCAGAAGCACCTCAGGAGGAGGCTTCTCTCAGCAATAGGTGTGTGGGAGGGACCCCGAGTTTGCTTCCTCAAGGGGAATATACCGCGAGAAGCCCTAAATTGAAAGCAGGCCGGGTTTCCTTGCAGTGGCGTGAATTCAGGCTCGTCTTTCATCTAACAACATGAAGGGATGTCTGAATCCACTGTGGAGACCTTAGAGAAAGCCCTAGGTCCCTGCCTCATTTTGACGGAATGCCTCACATCCCCTTGACACCTCGAGAGGCACGCGGAGTTCATTGCTTCAAAAGTTGACGATGCCTGACTCCTCTTGAATACTGATAGGAATCCCAAAATCCCTGTGGCTACTGGAAAGGGTCCTTGGGTGCCCTGCTTCACCTCGAGAAGCGTCCCTTTTGCCTTGCAAAGCCTCGAAGAGATTCCTGAGGTGTCCCTCGTTACTAGACAGGAGTCCTGACGTCACTGAAGAAACTCGTGTTTTGAAGGGCCATCCCCGCGGTAAGTCGAGAACATACCCCAGGTCCCAGCCAAAACTCGAGAAAAACCATGAGACTTCCCCCTAGAGGCGAGATGAGGCCCCTTTCCCCTGCAGTGCATGCAGAGCTATTCCGTGATCCCATTCAAACAAGTCAGGAGCTTCGACTTGCTTAATGGATCTCGAGACAGTCCGCAAGGTCACCAGTCTAGACGGACCCTGAGGTCACCCCAGCAACGCAAAGCAGCTCCATGTGCCCCAAATCAACTCGAGATGAGGCCCGATTCCCCTGCATTGACTCAAGAGCCATTCCCCGTTCCCCATTCAACACGACAGGTGGCTCGACTTCCTTCAGGCAACTCCAGAGATAACCCGAGAACACTGTCCCAAGTCTAGAGGAACACCAACTTCAGCACAGCGACTCGAGGAATGCTCCGTGTACCCCAAATCGTCTCGAGATGAGAGCTGATTCCCTGGCTTAGGCTCAAGACGTATGCCAACTTTCCAGAAGCACCTCAGGAGGAGGCTTCTCTCAGCAATAGGTGTGTGGGAGGGACCCCGAGTTTGCTTCCTCAAGGGGAATATACCGCGAGAAGCCCTAAATTGAAAGCAGGCCGGGTTTCCTTGCAGTGGCGTGAATTCAGGCTCGTCTTTCATCTAACAACATGAAGGGATGTCTGAATCCACTGTGGAGACCTTAGAGAAAGCCCTAGGTCCCTGCCTCATTTTGACGGAATGCCTCACATCCCCTTGACACCTCGAGAGGCACGCGGAGTTCATTGCTTCAAAAGTTGACGATGCCTGACTCCTCTTGAATACTGATAGGAATCCCAAAATCCCTGTGGCTACTGGAAAGGGTCCTTGGGTGCCCTGCTTCACCTCGAGAAGCGTCCCTTTTGCCTTGCAAAGCCTCGAAGAGATTCCTGAGGTGTCCCTCGTTACTAGACAGGAGTCCTGACGTCACTGAAGAAACTCGTGTTTTGAAGGGCCATCCCCGCGGTAAGTCGAGAACATACCCCAGGTCCCAGCCAAAACTCGAGAAAAACCATGAGACTTCCCCCTAGAGGCGAGATGAGGCCCCTTTCCCCTGCAGTGCATGCAGAGCTATTCCGTGATCCCATTCAAACAAGTCAGGAGCTTCGACTTGCTTAATGGATCTCGAGACAGTCCGCAAGGTCACCAGTCTAGACGGACCCTGAGGTCACTCCACCAACGCAAAGCAGCTCCATGTGCCCCAAATCAATTCGAGATGAGGCCCGATTCCCCTGCATTGACTCCAGAGCCATTCCCCGTTCCACATTCAACATGACCGGTGGCTCGATTTCTTTCAGGCAACTCCAGAGATGCCCCGAGAACACTGTCCCAAGTCTAGAGGAACACCAACTTCAGCACAGCAACTCGAGGAATGCTCGGTGTACCCCAAATCATCTCGAGATGAGAGCTGATTCCCTGGCTTAGGCTCAAGACGTATGCCAACTTTCCAGAAGGACCTCAAGAGGTGGCTTCTCTCAGCAATAGGTATGTGGAGGGACCATCAGTTTGCTGCCTCAAGGGGAATATACATCGAGAAGCCCTAACTTGAAAGGAGGCCGGATTTCCTTGCAGTGTCTTGAATACAGGCTCGTCTTTCATCTCACAACATGAAGGGATGTCTGAATCCCCTGTGGAGACCATAGAGAAAGCCTTAGGTCCCTGCCTCATTTTGACGGAATGCCTCACATCCCGCTGACACCTCGAGAGGCACACGGAGTTCACTGCTTCAAAAGGTGACGATGCCTGACTCCTCTTGAATACTGATAGGAATCCCAAAATCCCTGTGGCTACTGGAAAGGGTCCTTGGGTGCCCTGCTTCACATCGAGAAGCGTCCCTTTTGCCTTGCAAAGCCTCGAAGAGATTCCTGAGGTGTCCCTCGTTACTAGACAGGAGTCCTGACGTCACTGAATAAACACGAGTTTTGAAGGGCCATCCCCGCCGTAAGTCGAGAACATACCGCAGGTCCCCACCGCAACTCGAGAAAAACCATGAGACTTCCCCCTAGAGGCGAGGTGAGACCCCATTCCCATGCAGTGCATGCAGAGCTATTCCGTGATCCCATTCAAACAAGTCAGGAGCTTCGACTTGCTTAATGGATCTCGAGACAGTCCCCAAGAACACTGTCACAAGTCTAGACGGACCCTGAGGTCACCCCAGCAACGCAAAGCAGCTCCATGTGCCCCAAATCAACTCGAGATGAGGCCCGATTCCCCTGCATTGACTCCAGAGCCATTCCCCGTTCCCCATTCAACACGACAGGTGGCTCGACTTCCTTCAGGCAACTCCAGAGATAACCCGAGAACACTGTCCCAAGTCTAGAGGAACACCAACTTCAGCACAGCGACTCGAGGAATGCTCCGTGTACCCCAAATCGTCTCGAGATGAGAGCTGATTCCCTGGCTTAGGCTCAAGACGTATGCCAACTTTCCAGAAGCACCTCAGGAGGAGGCTTCTCTCAGCAATAGGTGTGTGGGAGGGACCCCGAGTTTGCTTCCTCAAGGGGAATATACCGCGAGAAGCCCTAAATTGAAAGCAGGCCGGGTTTCCTTGCAGTGGCGTGAATTCAGGCTCGTCTTTCATCTAACAACATGAAGGGATGTCTGAATCCACTGTGGAGACCTTAGAGAAAGCCCTAGGTCCCTGCCTCATTTTGACGGAATGCCTCACATCCCCTTGACACCTCGAGAGGCACGCGGAGTTCATTGCTTCAAAAGTTGACGATGCCTGACTCCTCTTGAATACTGATAGGAATCCCAAAATCCCTGTGGCTACTGGAAAGGGTCCTTGGGTGCCCTGCTTCACCTCGAGAAGCGTCCCTTTTGCCTTGCAAAGCCTCGAAGAGATTCCTGAGGTGTCCCTCGTTACTAGACAGGAGTCCTGACGTCACTGAAGAAACTCGTGTTTTGAAGGGCCATCCCCGCGGTAAGTCGAGAACATACCCCAGGTCCCAGCCAAAACTCGAGAAAAACCATGAGACTTCCCCCTAGAGGCGAGATGAGGCCCCTTTCCCCTGCAGTGCATGCAGAGCTATTCCGTGATCCCATTCAAACAAGTCAGGAGCTTCGACTTGCTTAATGGATCTCGAGACAGTCCGCAAGGTCACCAGTCTAGACGGACCCTGAGGTCACTCCACCAACGCAAAGCAGCTCCATGTGCCCCAAATCAATTCGAGATGAGGCCCGATTCCCCTGCATTGACTCCAGAGCCATTCCCCGTTCCACATTCAACATGACCGGTGGCTCGATTTCTTTCAGGCAACTCCAGAGATGCCCCGAGAACACTGTCCCAAGTCTAGAGGAACACCAACTTCAGCACAGCAACTCGAGGAATGCTCGGTGTACCCCAAATCATCTCGAGATGAGAGCTGATTCCCTGGCTTAGGCTCAAGACGTATGCCAACTTTCCAGAAGGACCTCAAGAGGTGGCTTCTCTCAGCAATAGGTATGTGGAGGGACCATCAGTTTGCTGCCTCAAGGGGAATATACATCGAGAAGCCCTAACTTGAAAGGAGGCCGGATTTCCTTGCAGTGTCTTGAATACAGGCTCGTCTTTCATCTCACAACATGAAGGGATGTCTGAATCCCCTGTGGAGACCATAGAGAAAGCCTTAGGTCCCTGCCTCATTTTGACGGAATGCCTCACATCCCGCTGACACCTCGAGAGGCACACGGAGTTCACTGCTTCAAAAGGTGACGATGCCTGACTCCTCTTGAATACTGATAGGAATCCCAAAATCCCTGTGGCTACTGGAAAGGGTCCTTGGGTGCCCTGCTTCACATCGAGAAGCGTCCCTTTTGCCTTGCAAAGCCTCGAAGAGATTCCTGAGGTGTCCCTCGTTACTAGACAGGAGTCCTGACGTCACTGAATAAACACGAGTTTTGAAGGGCCATCCCCGCCGTAAGTCGAGAACATACCGCAGGTCCCCACCGCAACTCGAGAAAAACCATGAGACTTCCCCCTAGAGGCGAGGTGAGACCCCATTCCCATGCAGTGCATGCAGAGCTATTCCGTGATCCCATTCAAACAAGTCAGGAGCTTCGACTTGCTTAATGGATCTCGAGACAGTCCCCAAGAACACTGTCACAAGTCTAGACGGACCCTGAGGTCACCCCAGCAACGCAAAGCAGCTCCATGTGCCCCAAATCAACTCGAGATGAGGCCCGATTCCCCTGCATTGACTCCAGAGCCATTCCCCGTTCCCCATTCAACACGACAGGTGGCTCGACTTCCTTCAGGCAACTCCAGAGATAACCCGAGAACACTGTCCCAAGTCTAGAGGAACACCAACTTCAGCACAGCGACTCGAGGAATGCTCCGTGTACCCCAAATCGTCTCGAGATGAGAGCTGATTCCCTGGCTTAGGCTCAAGACGTATGCCAACTTTCCAGAAGCACCTCAAGAGGAGGATTCTCTCAGCAATAGGTATGTGGGAGGGACACCGAGTTTGCTGCCTCAAGGGGAATATACAGTGAGAAGCCCTAAATTGAAAGCAGGCCGGATTTCCTTGCAGTGGCTTGAATACAGGCTCGTCTTTCATCTAACAACATGAAGGGATGTCTGAATCCCCTGTGGAGACCTTAGAGAAAGCCCTAGGTCCCTGCCTCATTTTGACGGAGTGCCTCACATCCCGTTGACACCTCGAGAGGCACACGGAGTTCACTGGTTCAAAAGTTGACGATGCCTGACTCCTCTTGAATACTGATAGGAATCCCAAAATCCCTGTGGCTACTGGAAAGGGTCCTTGGGTGCCCTGCTTCACCTCGAGAAGCGTCCCTTTTGCCTTGCAAAGCCTCGAAGAGATTCCTGAGGTGTCCCTCGTTACTAGACAGGAGTCGTGACGTCACTGAAGAAACTCGTGTTTTGAAGGGCCATCCCCGCGGTAAGTCGAGAACATATCCCAGGTCCCCGCCAAAACTCGAGAAAAACCATGAGACTTCCCCCTAGAGGCGAGATGAGGACCCATTCCCCTGCAGTGCATGCAGAGCTATTCCGTGATCCCATTCAAACAAGTCAGGAGCTTCGACATGCTTAATGGATCTCGAGACAGTCCGCAAGGTCACCAGTCTAGACGGACCCTGAGGTCACCACGCAACGCAAAGCAGCTCCATGTGCCCCAAACCAACTCGAGATGAGGCCCCATTCCCCTGCATTGACTCCAGAGCCATTCCCCGTTCCCCATTCAACATGACCGGTGGCTCGATTTCTTTCAGGCAACTCCAGAGATGCCCCGAGAACACTGTCCCAAGTCTAGAGGAACACCAACTTCAGCACAGCACCTTGAGGAATGCTCCGTGTATCCCAAAACGTCTCGAGATGAGAGCTGATTCCCTGGCTTAGGCTCAATACTTATGCCAACTTTCCAGAAGCACCTCAAGAGGTGGCTTCTCTCAGCAATAGGTATGTGGGAGGGACCCCGATTTTGCTGCCTCAAGGGGAATATACAGCGAGAAGCCCTAACTTGAAAGGAGGCCGGATTTCCTTGCAGTGTCTTGAATACAGGCTCGTCTTTCATCTCACAACATGAAGGGATGTCTGAATCCCCTGTGGAGACCTTAGAGAAAGCCCTAGGTCCCTGCCTCATTTTGACGGAATGCCTCACATCCCACTGACACCTCGAGAGGCACGCGGAGTTCATTGCTTCAAAAGGTGACGGTGCCTGACTCTTCTTGAATACTGATAGGAATCCCAAAATCCCTGTGGCTACTGGAAAGGGTCCTTGGGTGCCCTGCCTCACCTCGAGAAGCGTCCCTTTTGCCCTGCCAAGCCTCGAAGAGATTCCTGAGTTGTCCCTCGTTACTAGACAGGAGTCCTGACGTCACTGAAGAAACTCGTGTTTTGAAGGGCCATCCCCGCCGTAAGTCGAGAACATACCCCAGGTCCCCGCCGCAACTTGAGAAAAACCATGAGACTTCCCCCTAGAGGCGAGATGAGGCCCCATTCCCCTGCAGTGCATGCAGAGCTATTCCGTGATCCCATTCCAACAAGTCAGGAGCTTCGACTTGCTTAATGGATCTCGAGACAGTCCCCAAGAACACTGTCACCAGTCTAGACGGACGCTGAGGTCACCCCAGCAACGCAAAGCAGCTCCATGTGCCCCAAATCAACTCGAGATGAGGCCCGATTCCCCTGCATTAACGCCAGAGCCGTTCCCCGTTCCCCATTAAACACGACCGGTGGCTCGACTTCCTTCAGGCCACTCCAGAGATGCCCCGAGAACACTGTCCCAAGTCTAGAGGAACACCAACTTCAGCACAGCCACTCGAGGAATGCTCCGTGTACCTCAAATCGTCTCAAGATGAGAGCTGATTCCCTGGCTTAGGCTCAAGACGTATGCCAACTTTCCAGAAGCACCTCAGGAGGAGGCTTCTCTCAGCAATAGGTGTGTGGGAGGGACCCCGAGTTTGCTGCCTCAAGGGGAATATACCGCGAGAAGCCCTAAATTGAAAGCAGGCCGGGTTTCCTTGCAGTGGCTTGAATTCAGGCTCGTCTTTCATCTAACAACATGAAGGGATGTCTGAATCCACTGTGGAGACCTTAGAGAAAGCCCTAGGTCCCTGCCTCATTTTGACGGAATGCCTCACATCCCCTTGACACCTCGAGAGGCACGCGGAGTTCATTGCTTCAAAAGGTGACGATGCCTGACTCCTCTTGAATACTGATAGGAATCCCAAAATCCCTGTGGCTACTGGAAAGGTTCCTTGGGTGCCCTGCTTCACCTCGAGAAGCGTCCCTTTTGCCTTGCAAAGCCTCGAAGAGATTCCTGAGGTGTCCCTCGTTACAAGTCAGGAGTCCTGACGTCACTGAAGAAACTCGTGTTTTGAAGGGCCATCCCCGCGGTAAGTCGAGAACATACCCCAGGTCCCCGCCAAAACTCGAGAAAAACCATGAGACTTCCCCCTAGATGCGAGATGAGGCCCCATTCCCCTGCAGTGCATGCAGAGCTATTCCGTGATCCCATTCAAACAAGTCAGGAGCTTCGACTTGCTTAATGGATCTCGAGACAGTCCGCAAGGTCACCAGTCTAGACGGACCCTGAGGTCACTCCACCAACGCAAAGCAGCTCCATGTGCCCCAAATCAATTCGAGATGAGGCCCGATTCCCCTGCATTGACTCCAGAGCCATTCCCCGTTCCACATTCAACATGACCGGTGGCTCGATTTCTTTCAGGCAACTCCAGAGATGCCCCGAGAACACTGTCCCAAGTCTAGAGGAACACCAACTTCAGCACAGCAACTCGAGGAATGCTCGGTGTACCCCAAATCATCTCGAGATGAGAGCTGATTCCCTGGCTTAGGCTCAAGACGTATGCCAACTTTCCAGAAGGACCTCAAGAGGTGGCTTCCCTCAGCAATAGGTATGTGGAGGGACCCCGAGTTTGCTGCCTCAAGGGGAATATACATCGAGAAGCCCTAACTTGAAAGGAGGCCGGATTTCCTTGCAGTGTCTTGAATACAGGCTCGTCTTTCATCTCACAACATGAAGGGATGTCTGAATAACCTGTGGAGACCATAGAGAAAGCCTTAGGTCCCTGCCTCATTTTGACGGAATGCCTCACATCCCGCTGACACTTGGACAGGCACGCAGAGTTCACTGCTTCAAAAGGTGACGATGCCTGACTCCTCTTGAATACTGATAGGAATCCCAAAATCCCTGTGGCTACTGGAAAGGGTCCTTGGGTGCCCTGCCTCACCTCGAGAAGCGTCCCTTTTGCCCTGCCAAGACTCGAAGAGATTCCTGAGGTGTCCCTCGTTACTAGACAGGAGTCCTGACGTCACTGAATAAACACGAGTTTTGAAGGGCCATCCCCGCCGTAAGTCGAGAACATACCGCAGGTCCCCACCGCAACTCGAGAAAAACCATGAGACTTCCCCCTAGAGGCGAGGTGAGACCCCATTTACATGCAGTGCATGCAGAGCTATTCCGTGATCCCATTCAAACAAGTCAGGAGCTTCGACTTGCTTAATGGATCTCGAGACAGTCCCCAAGAACACTGTCACAAGTCTAGACGGACCCTGAGGTCACCCCAGCAACGCAAAGCAGCTCCATGTGCCCCAAATCAACTCGAGATGAGGCCCCATTCCCCTGCATTGACTCCAGAGCCATTCCCCGTTCCCCATTCAACACGACAGGTGGCTCGACTTCCTTCAGGCAACTCCAGAGATAACCCGAGAACACTGTCCCAAGTCTAGAGGAACACCAACTTCAGCACAGCGACTCGAGGAATGCTCCGTGTACCCCAAATCGTCTCGAGATGAGAGCTGATTCCCTGGCTTAGGCTCAAGACGTATGCCAACTTTCCAGAAGCACCTCAAGAGGAGGATTCTCTCAGCAATAGGTATGTGGGAGGGACACCGAGTTTGCTGCCTCAAGGGGAATATACAGTGAGAAGCCCTAAATTGAAAGCAGGCCGGATTTCCTTGCAGTGGCTTGAATACAGGCTCGTCTTTCATCTAACAACATGAAGGGATGTCTGAATCCCCTGTGGAGACCTTAGAGAAAGCCCTAGGTCCCTGCCTCATTTTGACGGAGTGCCTCACATCCCGTTGACACCTCGAGAGGCACACGGAGTTCACTGGTTCAAAAGTTGACGATGCCTGACTCCTCTTGAATACTGATAGGAATCCCAAAATCCCTGTGGCTACTGGAAAGGGTCCTTGGGTGCCCTGCTTCACCTCGAGAAGCGTCCCTTTTGCCTTGCAAAGCCTCGAAGAGATTCCTGAGGTGTCCCTCGTTACTAGACAGGAGTCGTGACGTCACTGAAGAAACTCGTGTTTTGAAGGGCCATCCCCGCGGTAAGTCGAGAACATATCCCAGGTCCCCGCCAAAACTCGAGAAAAACCATGAGACTTCCCCCTAGAGGCGAGATGAGGTCCCATTCCCTGCAGTGCATGCAGACCTATTCCGTGATCCCATTCAAACAAGTCAGGAGCTTCGACATGCTTAATGGATCTCGAGACAGTCCGCAAGGTCACCAGTCTAGACGGACCCTGAGGTCACCACGCAACGCAAAGCAGCTCCATGTGCCCCAAACCAACTCGAGATGAGGCCCCATTCCCCTGCATTGACTCCAGAGCCATTCCCCGTTCCCCATTCAACATGACCGGTGGCTCGATTTCTTTCAGGCAACTCCAGAGATGCCCCGAGAACACTGTCCCAAGTCTAGAGGAACACCAACTTCAGCACAGCACCTTGAGGAATGCTCCGTGTATCCCAAAACGTCTCGAGATGAGAGCTGATTCCCTGGTTTAGGCTCAATACTTATGCCAACTTTCCAGAAGCACCTCAAGAGGTGGCTTCTCTCAGCAATAGGTATGTGGGAGGGACCCCGATTTTGCTGCCTCAAGGGGAAGATACAGCGAGAAGCCCTAACTTGAAAGGAGGCCGGATTTCCTTGCAGTGTCTTGAATACAGGCTCGTCTTTCATCTCACAACATGAAGGGATGTCTGAATCCCCTGTGGAGACCTTAGAGAAAGCCCTAGGTCCCTGCCTCATTTTGACGGAATGCCTCACATCCCACTGACACCTCGAGAGGCACGCGGAGTTCATTGCTTCAAAAGGTGACGGTGCCTGACTCTTCTTGAATACTGATAGGAATCCCAAAATCCCTGTGGCTACTGGAAAGGGTCCTTGGGTGCCCTGCCTCACCTCGAGAAGCGTCCCTTTTGCCCTGCCAAGCCTCGAAGAGATTCCTGAGTTGTCCCTCGTTACTAGACAGGAGTCCTGACGTCACTGAAGAAACTCGTGTTTTGAAGGGCCATCCCCGCCGTAAGTCGAGAACATACCCCAGGTCCCCGCCGCAACTTGAGAAAAACCATGAGACTTCCCCCTAGAGGCGAGATGAGGCCCCATTCCCCTGCAGTGCATGCAGAGCTATTCCGTGATCCCATTCCAACAAGTCAGGAGCTTCGACTTGCTTAATGGATCTCGAGACAGTCCCCAAGAACACTGTCACCAGTCTAGACGGACGCTGAGGTCACCCCAGCAACGCAAAGCAGCTCCATGTGCCCCAAATCAACTCGAGATGAGGCCCGATTCCCCTGCATTAACGCCAGAGCCGTTCCCCGTTCCCCATTAAACACGACCGGTGGCTCGACTTCCTTCAGACCACTCCAGAGATGCCCCGAGAACACTGTCCCAAGTCTAGAGGAACACCAACTTCAGCACAGCCACTCGAGGAATGCTTCGTGTACCTCAAATCGTCTCAAGATGAGAGCTGATTCCCTGGCTTAGGCTCAAGACGTATGCCAACTTTCCAGAAGCACCTCAGGAAGAGGCTTCTCTCAGCAATAGGTGTGTGGGAGGGACCCCGAGTTTGCTGCCTCAAGGGGAATATACCGCGAGAAGCCCTAAATTGAAAGCAGGCCGGGTTTCCTTGCAGTGGCTTGAATTCAGGCTCGTCTTTCATCTAACAACATGAAGGGATGTCTGAATCCACTGTGGAGACCTTAGAGAAAGCCCTAGGTCCCTGCCTCATTTTGACGGAATGCCTCACATCCCCTTGACACCTCGAGAGGCACGCGGAGTTCATTGCTTCAAAAGGTGACGATGCCTGACTCCTCTTGAATACTGATAGGAATCCCAAAATCCCTGTGGCTACTGGAAAGGTTCCTTGGGTGCCCTGCTTCACCTCGAGAAGCGTCCCTTTTGCCTTGCAAAGCCTCGAAGAGATTCCTGAGGTGTCCCTCGTTACAAGACAGGAGTCCTGACGTCACTGAAGAAACTCGTGTTTTGAAGGGCCATCCCCGCGGTAAGTCGAGAACATACCCCAGGTCCCCGCCAAAACTCGAGAAAAACCATGAGACTTCCCCCTAGAGGCGAGATGAGGCCCCATTCCCCTGCAGTGCATGCAGAGCTATTCCGTGATCCCATTCAAACAAGTCAGGAGCTTCGACTTGCTTAATGTATCTCGAGACAGTCCCCAAGAACACTGTCACAAGTCTAGACGGACCCTGAGGTCAACCCAGCAAAGCAAAGCAGCTCCATATGCCCCAAATCAACTCGAGATGAGGCCCGATTCCCCTGCATTGACTCCAGAGCCATTCCCCCTTCTCCATTCAACACGACCGGTGGCTCGACTTCCTTCAGGCAACTCGAGAGATGCCCCGAGAACACTGTCCCAAGTCTAGAGGAACACCAACTTCAGCACAGCAACTCGAGGAATGCTCCGTGTACAACAAATTGTCTCAAGATGAGAGGTGATTCCCTAGCTTAGGCTCAAAACGTATGCCAACTTTCCAGAAGCACCTCAGGAGGAGGCTTCTCTCAGCAATAGGTATGTGGAAGGGACACCGAGATCGCTGCCTCAAGGGGAATATACAGCGAGAAGCCCTAACTTGAAAGGAGGCCAGATTTCCTTGCAGTGGCTTTAATACAGGCTCGTCTTTCATCTCATAACATGAAGGGATGTCTGAATCCCCTGTGGAGACCTTAGAGAAAGCCCTAGGTCCCTGCCTCATTTTGACGGAATGCCTCAAAACCGGTTGACACCTCGAGAGGCACGCGGAGTTCATTGCTTCAAAAGGTGACTATGCCTGACTCCTCTTGAATCCTGATAGGAATCCCAAAATCTATGTGGCTACTGGAAAGGGTCCTTTGGTGCACTGCCTCACCTCGAGAAGCGTCCCTTTTGCCCTGCCAAGCCTCGAAGAGATTCCTGAGGTGTCCCTCGTTACTAGACAGGAGTCCAGACGTCACTGAAGTAACTCGTGTTTTGAAGGGCCATGCCGCCGTAAGTCGAGAACATACCCCAGGTCCCTGCCGCAACTCGAGAAAAACCATGAGACTTCCCCCTAGAGTCGAGATGGGGCCCCATTCCCCTGCAGGGCATGCAGAGCTATTCCGTGATCCCGTTCAAACAAGTCAGGAGCTTCGACTTGCTTAATGGATCTCGAGACAGTCCGCAAGAACACTGTCACCAGTCTAGACGGACCCTGAGGTCACCCCATCAGCGCAAAGCAGCTCCATGTGCACCAAATCAACTCGAGATGAGGCCTGATTCCCCTGCATTGACTCCAGAGCCATTCCCCGTTCCTCATTCAACACGACCGGTGGCTCGACTTCCTCCAGGCAACTCAAGAGATGCCCCGAGAACACTGTCCCAAATCTAGAGGAACACCAACTTCAGCACAGCAACTCGAGGAATGCTCTGTGTACCCCAAATCGTCTCGAGATGAGAGCTGATTCCCTAGCTTAGGCTCAAGACGTATGCCAACTTTCCAGGAGCACCTCAAGAGGAGGCTTCTCTCAGCAGTAGTTATGTGGGAGGGACCCCGAGATCGCTGCCTCAAGTGGAATATACAGCGAGAAGTCCTAACTTGAAAGGAGGACGGATTTCCTTGCAGTGGCTTGAAAACAGGCTCGTCTTTCATCTCACAACATGAAGGGATGTCTGAATCCCCTGTGGAGACCTTAGAGGAAGCCCTAGGTCCCTGCCTCATTTTGACGGAATGCCTCACATCCCGTTGACACCTCCAGAGGCACACGGAGTTCATTGCTGCAAAAGGTGACGATGCCTGACTCCTCTTGGATAATGAAAGGAATCCCAAAATCCCTGTGGCTACTGGAAAGGGTCCTTGGGTGCCCTGCCTCACCTCGAGAAGCGTCCCTTTTGCCCTGCCAAGCCTCGAAGAGATTCCTGAGGTGTCCCTCGTTACTACACAGGAGTCCTGACGTCACTGAAGAAACTCGTGTTTTGAAGGGCCATCCCCGCCGTAAGTCGAGAACATACCCCAGGTCCCTGCCGGAACTCGAGAAAAACCATGAGACTTCCCCCTAAATTCGAGGTGAGGCCCCATTCCCATGCAGTGCATGCAGAGCTATTCCGTGATCCCATTCAAACAAGTCAGGAGCTTCGACTTGCTTAATGGATCTCGAGACAGTCCCCAAGAACACTGTCACAAGTCTAGACGGACCCTGAGGTCACCCCAGCAACGCAAAGCAGCTCCATGTGCCCCAAATGAACTCGAGATGAGGCCCGATTCCCCTGTATTGACTCCAGAGCCATTCCCCGTTCCCCATTCAACACGACCGGTGGCTGGACTTCTTTAAGGCAACTCCAGAGATGCCCCGAGAACACTCTCCCAAGTCTAGAGTAACACCAACTTCAGCACAGCAACTCGAGGAATGCTCCGTGTACCCCAAATCGTCTCGAGATGAGAGCTGATTCCCTGGCTTAGTCTCAAGACGTCTGCCAAGTTTCCAGAAGCACCTCAAGAGGAGGATTCTCTCAGCAATAGGTATGTGGGAGGGATCCCGAGTTTGCTGCCTCAAGGGGAATATACAGCGAGAAGCCGTAAATTGAAAGCAGGCCGGGTTTCCTTGCAGTGGCTTGAATA